CAATGCCAGGGTTCCTAATCTTTCCACTAGTCCTTCTGGACTGCATACTTGTGAACGTGTTTGTGTATACGCTTGCCTCTTGGGTGTATAGTTCGTCGAAGAGAGTACTCCAAATGCATGTCAAGCATACCATCCAATTTGGCGGAAACAAATCCGCCTTGTCGCGGGAAATCAGGGCGTGTGGCGTACTGAAAATCAAATTCGGTTCAAACTACATCGACAATGGAACTCCGCTGGTAATTCAGGACTTCTGCATGAACCAGACCGTTAATCTTCTACTTATTAATTCAGGGAATAAAGCGGGACGGTAAAACGTTATAAATTACCAACTTTTTGTATGGGCATATTGTATTAGTAAACATACTTTTTGTATGTTTACTATTTGATTTGATTGTCAAGTGGGCTGCATATGTACATTTCCAAATGCATCACACCTAAAAAATTTCCTTTTCCAATAAGGAGTTTTTCAAACAAAACTTATTAGATATACATACTTATAATGTTTGAAGTGGGAATACAATGTTTGTTCACGTGCCAGTCTTATTTACCAGGATCCATCAAACCAATAATTCATTTAATCTAAACAGATAAAACAAATAATTTAATAAATATTCAACTCGCCAATTTTTGAGCTCAGAAATTGAACATAAACTTTTATATGGTGCAAGTCGCCAGTCGGTTAGAAGAATGTATAACAGGAAATATGGTGGCAATGTTTGACAAGAAAGTTATTACGCACTTGGTAATGTGCCCAATGCTTTAGCAATATTTGCAATTATAAATTTGAGGAATGATTCATTGATTTCCTTTATTTACAAAATGTTTAATTCAACACGTGTCTTGTTTCAAAAACTAAGCTTTTGCCAATAAATATTTATATGTGGATTTCCTGCCTTGGTTTGTCTTGTCGAGATGAAGATCGCTCACTCGAACTACGTTCGTAAACTATACTATCATAACAATGCGATGGTGTGAGGTGGTTATCGCCGATATCCACCAGACTAATTTTAAATTGTTCACGTTCAAAAATAAGTGGACCCGTATTTTTTTGTTTTCCTGAATGGGCATGTTTACGCCCTTGGCGGAATTTTCCAAAAATAATTCAGCCAAAATTCGGATTTTTTTTAAAAAGCTGTAACTTTTCGAATTTTAACCCGATGTCAAAAAATAAACTCAATTGGTGTTCAGAATTGCATCCCTAAAAATATAAAAAATTCATTTTTTAAAAATTTAAAAAATTTGAAATTTTCATGCTAAATATTTGCAATTGTACTTAAATAATGTATAGAACATTTAAATGATCTTTTATTAATAGAATATTTAATTCAATAGTAAATTTGAATTGAAAACGTGAACCGCTCACAATAAATATTTACACGGGGATTTCCTGCCTGCCTGGGCAGGTTTACTTACCTACTCACAATTCGTTTCTTACTTAAATCAACCTGCTTGAGCCTTTGCAGGGAATGTATTTCAACTTGGCATAATTTTACTAATCATTCAACAATTGAATGTAGCCAAGTGTGACGATTCTGTAAAAATTTTCAAATTCCCCAAACATAAAAATTATTCCCCTTCCCCATATCGGCTCTCCACATTAGCCATGTACACCGATCACTTTCTCCCTTTCGTCGTTCGACATTTCAAACTTGCCCGGATTTTTGGAAGCATTGCTTTCGAGTTTGATACTAAATCAAGGAAGTTTGTCCGTATTAAATGCAGAATACGTGTAATTGCTGTGCAACTACAATACATAAGCACATTTTTGTACGTGGGATTGCTGTTCTACATAGTTTTAGACCTCCCCGTGCTAAAAATGCTTCAGGGATTTCCAATCTTGTTCTGCTTTGCGTTGTTACTCTCCGTCGGATCCAATGTTAGCGTGGACATCGCACCTGTGCAAATAATCAACTCTATCCTCACCTTTGAAAAAAATCTGGTTGATGGTATTCAAATTTCCATGACAAAATTCACACTACATAAATACAAACTAATCTAATTTGGAAAAACTCCAGATTGCGAAAACGTAAGGCCGTCCCTGGAAGCGAAGGTGATGCTATTCTACTTGTGCTTGGCCGAATTCACCGCATACATAATCCCTATTGTGGTGATTATTCTGCAAATCGTGGACCCTTGCACGCCGCCATTCATACTCTCGACGTCCCATTGTACAAAAATATCTTGGATGTCGCCAGTACCAGAAGTCTTCGTAGTCTTATTTGAGGCATGGATGGCTCTTCAACTGTCTGTTTCTGGGACGACGTGGGTTTTCTGCATCTTGTTTCCCGGAATTGTCGTTATTCTCGACTACTTTCAACGTCTAATGAGGTAATGGGTAGGGTTGATGCGGGTAACGGTTCGGGTAATCGTTACCCGCACGAATTGTGCGGCTACCCGTTATCTGCTGGTGGCGGGAACTACCCGCACGGGTACGGGTAGTTCAGGTTTTATTCAATTTTGGCCATCACAAACAAATTTGGAAGCTCATCACGCCTTACATTTATAGAAGTATTATTTTATTATTTATTTATTAACTTTAAAATTTGCTATTTGTCAGCAACAAGCGTGTATAGCCAACGTGTTTTTTCGGAAGCCTACGGCAGCCTAAGATACTTTTCACGTCCAGAAAATTGTGAAACATAATTTGCCTGCTCTAAAATATCAGTACTAGCTTGACTTCCATTGGTGTGCATGTATGTACGATTGGCGATGTTTCGATTTGTAATTTGAGGGTGTAAACCCTCTATCCGATTCAAAGCAACAATTTTATTTGTAAGCAGTTTTTCAAATGAAAACTTCATCAAATCAAAATTTCAAAAAATCTGGTTTCAAGCTACACCAAGATTATCTCGTAAGTTATGTATATCGAAAAGTCAACCCAAAAACTTGGAACTACCTGATACTTATCTATCTGTTGAATGGCCAGTTTAAAGAAAAATATTCTCCCTCTTTTTCCTCCTCTGGACGAAAACCATGGCGGGCTTTGAACTCCACCCCTAATAGTTTTCTTCAAAAGGGTCAAAAGGGTCTGAAAGATAAGTGTCATGTAACTGCTAATTTCCGGCTTGATTTTTTGGTACAACTCGCTAGGAAATCCCGGTGTAGCTTGATAAAGGTTCCATTGTAAGCCAGAAAGTTTGGTTACAGAAACATCTAATGACATATAGCAAATTGTGGCGTTCGTTACATGCATATAATTATCTCAAACTATTTATCAACCCAAATTAGCAAATAATTGATTAAGTCAAATTTATTCTGAAGCTGGGTTAGTTTTTAACTGAATTTCCATAACGGGTAGCGGGTAACGGGAAACCGTGCGGGTACGGATAATTCCGCTGCGGGTAGCGGGTCAGGTAACGCGCCGTTACCTGACCCGCTACCCGCAGCGGAATTATAAGCTACCCGTTAAAATGCTACCCGTTAGTAACGGGTAGCATTTGCTACCTGTGGCAACCCTAGTAAAAAGATTTCATCAGAAATGAAATTTTTATACCAGGGGGGTTCCATAAATTTTGTCACGTTGGCTCATGTTACCAAGGGAGGGATTTTCAATTATCGGAGAAAACTTAGTAGCTTGCAGGGAATTGGGTTTATGCGACCAGAATTCTTTCACGAGGGAAAGAAAGAAATTAGCTTTATTTGGCGCATAATTGTTTTCGTTCTGTGCGATACCAGTTAATCCGTTAGCAGCTCCAATGCTTTTAAAGGTTTTTGTAAAGACATGTAATAAACAACAAAAGGGTTAGGGAAATCGAAAATATATTTGTTTACCAACATAACTCTAATATTCGTCAATGATGAAATATTTACTTAAATAGTTTGTTTTAAATAATTGCAATTGATATGCGAGCTAAGGGTAATTTTTACGTATGGCGTACAGAATCATGGAGCTATACCGTGCATTCAAGTTGGTAAATAAAAAATAACCACAGGTAAATAAATCTAGATGAAATATTCCTAGGCAAATTGGAGACTCGAAATCGAGTTCGGAACAACGTGCCTGCATCCAACTCTACCGAAGTATTCAAATTCTGGAAAAATACTTAAACGGATATCTCATGCAGCGAATTGTTCCCATGATTGTGCTTACCATTCCCGCAACGCAAGTCGTCTCTCAATACGTCTGCATCCAATTTCATGACGAAATACCGATGCCAGGCTTTCTCTTCTTTCCCCTTCTAACGGTTGACTGCTTGATGGCGAACGTGTTCGTTTATACGGTGGCCTCCTGGGTTTACAGCACGTCGATCAAGGTACTTCGAACGCATGTTAGACATGCCGCCAAGTTCGGCGGGAAGAAATCCCAGGTGGCGAAAGAAATCAAGGCGTCTGACTTGCTCAAGATCAAATTCGGTTCAAACTACATCGACAATGGAACTCCGTTGGTGATTCAGGACTTCTGCATGAATCAAACAGTCAGTCTGCTACTTATCAATTCCGAAAAGTGAGAGCGATGCTAAAATATTTGTAATTACCCCGAGTTAACACGATTTAGTAATCAAATTACATAGTAGTTGTTTGAATGTGTGTATATGCATTTGTATGTGTCAGCGGTTAAAGCTGACGCGCCGCCGTTTACATTTTGTGCCCCGTCGACGTCGATAAATTTGATTTCATATTTCTCCAACATTGGTGGGCCGCCTTACCCCGCCGGCGTCGCCAAATTGATCGAAGGTGACGCATGATATGGATTTCGCAAATTGCAAATGCATATATGCATACATATGTATGCAATTATCCTGACAAGAAAATTGGTTTTTTCATGAAAACGTTTTTTTACTGAAATAAGTCTATGGAAGTAAATAATTGTAAGATAGCTCATCTTTTTATTTAGTTCATAATTAATGTGATTTGGTAACATTTTAATTGTATACCATTCGTTAATACCACTCTACCTAGCGGTGTCGGTGTGTATCTAGCATATCAGCCGGTAACAATCATATGCAAAACCTATTGAGGGTATTTACCCGAAGCAGTGACAACGATGTTATGCTTATTAATTCGCAACAAGTTACTTTTATTGTACGTAATTATTTATACATTATTCAGATATCTGTATATTAAATTAAGTAACACAAATTAAATGAAATTGATTAAATAAATTTAGTTTATTAATTATATTTGTTAATTATATTAATTTATAATGTATGCAATAGATTTTTAGTTCCGTACCTACTGGTTAAAGCTCATTGACAACTTATTAATGATAAGTGTTATATATTTAGTACGTGAATATATTTACCTCGTACGTAAAGATCATCTACTTCTATTATTAAAAGTTATTTACAGATTATTCAAATATCTGGACGTATTAACTAAATTTATTAATACATCTTCGGTGCCTTACCTATTTGATAAGGCTCATTAATAACAGTGGCAGATTAAGCCATCGTTGGACCCCTAGATGAGTTTTTCTGTGACGCATACATAAGTCTCAGAAACTGTATTTTTTCACGTAAACAAGTATCCGAGTCACCCAAACAAACACGTTGGGATTTTATACATCTATTTGATCCATATAACAACCTGCTTAGTTCTCTAACTATTTGGAACATTATCAGTAAATTTATTTTCCGAATTTCGATGATAGCACTTCGTTGGGAATATTATAATAATCTCACTTCCAGGTCCCCTTACCCACCTTCCCTATTCATCCGCCACTGATTAATACGTGTTACTCATATTTTGTTAGATACTACGTAAACATACCTCTTACGTAAATATCGTTTGCTTATATATGGTGCTGCATATGAAAATATGTACTGCGTATAATTATTTGGGAATGTCCATATACTACGTTTGCAGTAAACCGAGATTTTCAGATCCACCCACCCCTTCCCTATCCTTCTCATGTTAAGCTTAACACAAGTAAGATAGGCAGCCAAAACCGACCCACCCACCCATTTGCAAACGTAGTATATGGACGTTCCCTTTCTGGATTAGTATGGGTTGTCAAAATGTAAACGAAGCTGTGACAAATTAAAACATCGATTTTCAATTAATATTCAATCTCAAAAACGACAGGTTTCGAATTTTATTTTACATTGTCAGGTCTTTGTGTGTACAATATTTATTTGGATTTATGTTTTAAATTTTTATCCACTGCCGACGATTTTATCAGATGGGAGTTGCATACCTAAAATATATTTCACTACTACGAAAATAAAATGCGAATATGAGATTGAATATTAATTGGAAATCGAAGTGTCAATTTATCGCAACTTCATTAACTTTTTGATAACCCATACCAAATATAATACGTAAACATACCTCTTACGTAAATATCTTCTACTAATATGTAAGTCTAATAGTTTATACATATACTTTCAAACATATCTGTACGAATTAACTAAATTTATTGATAGATCTTGATTCCTTATTTAGTGGCTCATCGATAAGTGTTGCACAGATTATACGTAAATATACCTATTACGTAAAAATCATTTTACGAATAAATCAGACCGTTTGAAACAAGAGCATTTAAATAAGACGAAGAATGTGTTAACGACATTTTATGATCTCATTAACCTCCCCCACCCATGTGATTACTTGAGATTTTTCTCAATCACCGGGACGGGTAGGATTAGACTTTGTCCGGACAAATTGTGTCAGGCGAAAATGGTCTGCATTAATACAACCACCGCACGGAATGGTTACTCTTTCAACAGTAATGTTGCTGCAACCAAGATTCAAAAGTTCAACCTATACATATTCGAACGGATGCTGTTCTTACACTCTGAGTAAAAGTTGTGTAAATTTGTTCGTGAAAGTTTTACCTTGTTTTCACAAAAAGTGTGCGTGTGACAAAAGCTTAAAATATTACTATTTTGAATGTACAGAACTATACTGTTATCTCTATATGCATGTTATATGTATGTAGGTATATCTATAGGTATGCACATATATATACATTCTAAATAAAAGCTATGAAAAATTTACCCAGGGTTGAGAAAAAGGATAACAATTGGATAAAATTTATCCAACCATTGTGTAAAATTTGCCCAACTGGTGTGTATATTTTACCCAATTGTGGTTTCATCCTTTTTTACTCAGCCTTATGTAATATACACATATTTCCATAACTTTTATGAAGAGTGTACCGAAGTAGGTTCCACGAGGCTAGTGGTTCTAAACCCGTTCTCATATTGAATGCAATGGATTTGAGTCAGCATCGAATGTAAGGGTGGCAAATATAGGAACAGGTGGCCCGTGGGCCAGTTGGGGCCGTTCATAAATTACGGAACGCGAGAGGGGGAGGGTATAAGACTAAACTGATATCGTGTTTTTGTGTTACATGTTAAAGAAGATAGGGGATCTATAAAATCACAATTTTTGCGTTGCGTAATTTATGAACGGTCCCCCTTGTCGCAGGTTTCGTATTCAAGGGAACATAGTAACGGCCCCCAATATTTTTGTTCAGAATGAATGACACGACCGCTGATGGCATTTCCTAAATAGCTGCCTGATTTTGTATTCCTTAGCCCGGAAGACATTGGTTGACAAGGTTGAGCGTAACATCCTTTAATTGTGGTGACAACACAATTGTCTTCTTCTTCTTCCCCATAATTTGTTGATTGATAGATACGCAACCTAAATAAATAAATAGATATTAATGCAGCTTTAAAATTTGATTGGATTCGACAATACAATTAGCGTGCATTTCAATGCGCGTTAAACGTCGCGCATATCACGAATTTTGCGTAATAACGTACAGTCTTTACTTCAAAATGCATGATAGCATGCACATATTGGGAACATGACGAGATGCAAGAAACCCAACCAATTTCTGACTACTATTATCTGTATGATTCAATACCGCATGCATACATCTATAATTTACATACATACGTTAATAACGTTACTAAACACCATATTTCGATCGTATAATAACTGCAGTGCAATACTTTTGCAAAATTCAATAATTTGTCAAACTGGGTCTCAAATGATAGCTAGTAATATATTTACAAAACAATAATCTAAAATATTTTTACGAATTACTTACATATTTCTAGTGGTGTGTGACCCAACTTACAAATCTACAAGCCGACTTTGGATCAAAAATTTCATTTCTCCAAATTAAATTTGGACATTTGACATGCAGCCCAGAAACTGTAAACACAAACCAAAATATTATCACGGTTTCTTTATGTACACATACATAATTACACGAATTTTAACCTATCGAATGATGAAAATTGTTAGAAACTGAGGAACCACTATCTCACTGTATATTATACAATTTTCTAAGCACAATAAATCAAACCGTATTAAATTAGTGGCAAATAATTCAAATCACTGTCGTCTCACTTTGTTTGAAAACCAATTAAAAATAATAATTTTAATCCACATCCGTGACGACGTGTGCTAATACTTTTTACTTGCAAATGCTAATAATGTGGAATTAATCTCGCCTGAAACTTACACACAAGGCTAGATTGCAAATAATTTGTTACGATTCAAACTTACGTCAATTCCAAATTTACGTGTCAATTCTAAGTTTTGTTCAAAGTATAAAATTGCGATGTTGCTTGAACAATTGGATATTTATTGATTATTGACAATTGATTGATTTCATAGTCAATCAGGAATGAAAATCTATGTTAATTGGTTCCTATTTCTCAGAAATGTTTGCCACATGATAAAGGAAATTGTGGCCCGGAATTACGTAGTAATAACTACTGCACGGTGTAGGTTTTAAAAGTGTATAAATGCTTGTGGTCATACGTAAAGGAATAAAACCGAAGTTGAGCCTGAGTTGTGTATGTGCCACTATTTATTACTATACAATAAGCAGGATGATCACTATTTAATGCGAATTATCATATAAAGCTATTACACACCAGATATGAATATTTATGGACATGCCTCCCCTTCTAAGATATTGAATAAAATAACCATTTTCTCCCCACTTTGGATAGAACAGCAGTGTAAGAGCAATCAGTACCAGAGAACGAAATATTATCTAAATAACAAGTGGTGCAAATACTACTACATAGTACCTACATACACACTTTGTTACAATCATGACGAAGCTAATTTTTCACAAGTTTATCTTCCAAGTTACCCTTGTTTCCATTTTTATTTCAAATTTGCAACTTGGAAATGGCCAAACGCCACCCAACGATCACCAGATTCGGCTGCAAAGAGTTGTATATCCAACAACTCCGACAATCTCATCTAGTAGCACAGACCCCAAAACTTTTAGAGACACAGAGCTGAGCTTTTCTAATGCTGCTGTGAAACAATTCTGCGCATATGGAATGTAAGAATATGTTTTATTTGTTTCTTTAAAAAAATTGAGGAATATTTTATTGAGCATTTCCTACGAACATACGTTTCTATCAACTTCCTTCAGGTGGGCACTGTACAATACGATTAACTATGGCGAGTTAAAAGAAAGAAGCACGTCCGTAATGACAATTCGAGGATCTGCGTTTAACCCAAAGTTTACCTGCGTTCCGTTCGCTAACTATCCTGACTTAAAGAACACAAAGTCTGTCAGATTTCTTGGAAATCCGGTCGTTAATATGCCAGGGCTCTTAATAATGTCGGAGCCTAATTGGATTGGATTAGAGTTTAAGGAAAACAATCCTGGCACGACGCCAACACCAACAACGACAACGACTACAACAACGACAGCAACAATCATGTCACCAACAGTGCCAACAGTGCCAACACCCCCCGCCGCCCTCGAACCTGCATCAATCCCCGTCGACCCACGCATACTTCTCGGCTCGATTGCAATAACTGGAACGACAGGGATATGGAAAATCTGTGAAGATGTCGCTTGCAAAATTAATTTAGTTTGTATCGATATGACGAAACAGCGTTCGGGATTATTTCTAAATAAAAATGTCCCCATTGATAAATCCATTGGATGGCCGGTGTACGTGCGAGCATATCAATTCAGTGCAACAGGAACATGCGGTGATGATGACGGGACTGTACCATCCACGAGAACGTTATCAACCCGGAGTTCCGGACCGGGGGGAAAACCAGGCATTGAGGTTTTGTAATGCGTAATGAATTATGTATTAACGAGTCCTAATGCCCACATGTATGTACGTGAACTTGTTATCATAATTAATTGCAGGTGAATAAACTATTTATTGCGGGTAATTGATTAGTTAATTAATAAATGAATTAGTTACTTAGTTAATATAATGAGGTGCAATTTTATATTCGCAAATTATTTCATTTGTCTCCGGACACGTACACGGTGCATACATATCTACGATCCGCGCATATCTTCATTTCATAATGACACATACCCTTTATATCTGCATATTATTATGTGCCATCACCTCTGAGGTATTATTTTGGTCATAAGTTTTTTTTTATATTCAGACATATTGATAATTTCACTTTGCTAATTTTTGTATTTTTCTCTCCTAATTTGTAGGTTAGGTCTGCCTCCTGGACGGGATTTAGGCGAGCAAGACAAGACTTCATCGTAACCGATCCACCCCCCACGGTGTCAACACTTACTCCGACGACAACCTCATCGACCCCCACAATAACCACCGGAAGTTCAGTAAATTATACAACCTCGAGTAAAATTTCAGAAATATATTTAAGTTTTATTTTTATTAATAGTCCTAGTTTTACTATTAAATCCACTAATATATTTCAAAATAATTTAGTTCCACAGGTAGCCCCAGTTGGAACCGTTATTACCTTAAATCCAGGCAATGTATATAATATTTCCGCAAGAAATTTTTACTACGGTGGTGGAGAAATTTTAACCTGGCAATTTGTGGTACGCATTTTGAAAAAAAATAATTAAAATATATCGCCACCATGTTTTATAGTTATTTCCAATTTTAGGCAAATAATTGTGACTTGTACCTGAGTTGTTCGTGTGTCCCGATTCCAGCTTCATGGGAATGTTTGAAGGGTTATCTAAAATTGGACACGGGTTCGATACTGCACAGCCAAAAGTCAGTTTACTTATAAAATCATGCTAATTTTAATGAATTCAAGAAAATAGTGGTCGTATGTAAACTGACGCTACAAGGGGCAATTTAGCAGTATTTCTGAAGGGACTGACTGTGTCACACACTTAAAAATAATGTTGCCCTTATGAAAACTGAACGCACTCTGAATTCTTTATTAAGTAAATTACATTTTATTCCAAGTAAAATTTACTCTTAATCGAGTTAACATTACGCTGGATTTAGTCTAGTTTGCATAATTTACAATTCAGAACGCCTTTACTTATTAAAAAGGTAGCTACATTTTTTTAGAGTTGAAAAAAAAATCGGTAGCTAAATAAGATACAGAAGCTTATGAAACCTATGTACAGTCAATGGAAAAAGTATTGGCAACACCCACGCAAGCTAAATAAAATTGGTTATAACTTTGGCATGCGTTATCAAATTGGCATGAAACTTTGAACACATTTGATAAATCTAATGTAGTGTTCGATTATAATCGTGTTTCCGATTTAAATCTAGTAAACATAACGCAATCCAAATTTTGACCCTAACTAGTCAGGTACGAACCTGCAAAAAGTATTGGCAACATGTGGCTAAATTAGTTACTCGACACAATTTTCTTAACCATCTTCCACATTTCGTTACGGTAAGGTAATTAAGTGACAAAATATAACGTTAGCGACATTTTAAGTCTACAGTTGTGTTGTCTGGAGCCAAAATGGCGGCACTAAACCAGCTGTATTTGGCGCGGCGAGAAATATTCATGCCTCTTCCATAAAAATGCTTTGTTATCGAAAAATCAAAGAGAAAACACACTTTTCCATATTCACTATTGAAAACGTAGCAAAGAAATATAAAATGACGATCTCAGTCTCTACTTTTCGACGATGCGGAGGAAAAAGGTCACCTACGCCCAAAATCTACTGATGAATCAAGCAACAAATCATTCGAGATCGGAAGATTTTAGCCCCCAAATCCATGTTGAATTGCAGTACCAACTGTGGGGCAAACATATCTTTCAATTTGGTGTTCACTAAAAAATTATGCGTTGGGGTTTCAGGCTCCAGTAGCCCGACCGACGAGAGCGTCCCCAAAGCGAACCACCTCAATAAATTGGGATGGGCTAAATATAAGCCTCAATTGACTTCCAATGAATGAAATAAAGTCTACTGGTACGACATAGGCATATTTTACTTATTCGGAGCTCATTAATTGGTTCAAGTCTGGCGGATGCCATAAAAGGCTCAGAAATACGAAAACGTTCGTATGGCAGTTTAACACATAGGAGGATCGATTATGGTTTGGGGTTAAATGAAAAAAAAGGTCGTCTTTATTGATTCCCAATTTTAGCCATTACATTTGAATTACAAGTGAACCAAACCTCACATAAGTGAGAAATAGATGGTCACAGGTTCCTAACTATGGTGCCCGTAGTGCAATGGACACCGCACAGACCTGTGCAACAAGTCAGAGAGGAAAACCACAAGGGAAAAAACTCTCTGCCAGTACTGGGAATTGAACCCAGAACCTCCATTCGGCTTGAAGCACAGTGTGATGACCACTCGGCCACCACTGCCTGCCATTAAATGACTAGGTGGCGGCGTGTTTACCTGGTCATTATCGATAAAATCATGACCAGGGAGGTCTAATTAATCATTCCAAACGATAATTTGAAATTATTTGATAAAAACCTGATCTGGGGAGGAATTTTATATTCCAAAAATGCAGTGACCCAAAACAGCTACCCCAATTTACGATGCAAGTTTTTGGAGACCGAAAAGGTTAAGCTTCTTTCGTTGGCTGCACAGTCTCCTGATGTCATTCTGATTGTTTGGGCTGCGAAAAGAGAGACCGGTGGGAAACCACTCGACGAAAAACGAGCTTGTCAAAAGTTCGAAACAAGTGTGGCCAACCATATAAAAAAACGTTATAAAGAACCTTGTCGAATCAATTCAATGGCATATTTCTGCTCTTATTGCGTCGAGGGGATGTGCCACGTAATACTAGAAGCAGTGTGTCGCAGTAAAATTGTCCTTTCTTTGTTCTATGATTTTTTTAAGTTAGAAGGTGCCAATACTTTTTGCGGGTTAATTTTGCAAATTTTCCAGCAAATTATTTAAAAACTGCGTTAATATAATTTTGAGCAGTAAAACATGATTATAATCGAAAACAACATTAAATTAACTAAATGCGTACAAATTTTCATGCTAATTCGATAATGCATGCCAAAGTTATAGCCAATTTTATTTAGCTTGCGTGGGTGTTGCCAATACTTGTTCCATTGACTGTATGTACTCAGGAAATTTTATCACTGGAAAATTTCCACCGTGTAGCGTCAATTTACCGACACACTGTACATACAATTTCGTATTTTTTTGCAGATTCTGTGGAGGAAATCGTCCCAACGATTTCACTTCGGACACGGGAGAAATAAGGATGAAATACAAACCGAATAAAAAACGAGGCTCATCCGGTCCCGATTGTCAAGCAGCGTGTGCACCGTTTGGTGCCAAGCACCAAATATTGCCAACTGTGGGCTGTGTAGCATAATATTTAGTTGCCTACTTACATACATACCTACACTCCCAAGAATAATTTTACCCCTTAGAAAAGAAAGTGCATTCTGAATTCATAATAAATTATGTTGATATTTATACAAATCCAGCGTAAACTTTGCCTGAAGTTGATGTTTCTCTGGATTTTGTATACCTTGCTTAAATTACAGAATTTATCCTGCATTTAACTTTCAAATATTTATATTTCGTATTATTTTTAAGAGCGGTATAAATTAAGGGATGTGGTATCTTAATACGTAAATTAAGATTTACTTTAATTAAATTATTGTCCAGATCAGTTTTGGAAGAAATTATGTTAATAAAAATATCCCTTACAATATATGCATAAGTTGATGTGCAATTTCTTTGTGAAACATTTTTGCAAAAATTTGTTAATCATAATTTTGCATGAGACATACATATGTATTTAGTTCTACAAAAGGAAAGGATTTGAATTGCGGATATTTTATTACGATTTATTAAAACTTAAACACATACATTCGTCAATGTATTTAATCTTCGATATTTACGTCAATGTCAAGTTTGTGTTTGCATTAGCAATTCCAAATTGTGCTCAAAGTACAGAATTGCGATGTTGCTCAGACAATGAATTTATATTGTCATGTTATAATGTATAAAATGGGAAAATTAATTTTAATTAATTTTATTTTAATGTGTTGCCTTTCTCAGAAATTTTTTCCACATTCGGAGAGAATGTGTGTGCCGGAATAAATCGAGTAAATTATTCAATGAATGACAGGTAAATTATAGGGGGAAATGAGGAAAAAGTTTACTTTGGTGTGCGGAAGACTCCAGCCCACCGACCCCAGCCCGTGGGAGTCCAGCCCACCATTTCCAGCCCGTGATTAACTCCAGCCCGCGATCTCCAGCCCACCAACTCCAGCCCTTAATTATCTCCAGCCGTAATTATTTCCAGCCCATAAACGTCTCCAGCCCGTGTATAAAAACCTATCCGTACAGTTTTGCTTAGCTCCAACCAGGATTTATTAGAAAACTCAAATTTCTTAAAATTTTCTTTTCAAAAATTTTGAAATTCATCCCTCCTATATTCTAATTAGCAATTTATTTTACGAGTTTACGACTCAATACTAAATTTGAGCTGAATGTATAAACTCTTAGAAATCGGTGTTGGTCACCCGTTAGTACCTCTGGTTACTTTTTGTTATATTTGACTTCATATTATTTCATGAGAATCCACTATCACCCTGCTGAATTTCAACTTCTTACTATTTCTAAAAATCGGTATAGGTCACCCCATAGGGTCGCTCTAGACAAAAATTTTACCAATTTCACTTCATATTCTTTTATTAGGGGTCAACAGCAGCCTTTTTGCCAAATTTCAGCTCGATTGGATTTTCTCTCCATATGTACATACGTTCAAAAACTTCATAACGCAAAGGGGGGTGGGTGGGTGGTCAGGGTCCAATGATATCTGTAGGAGAGAATAGTGGAATTTGGTGGTTGCAAAAGAGAGCAAGGATAGGAAGCAGGGCGGTTAGCCTAGTGGTTAGGTGTTCTCCCGGCATGAGAAAGACACGAGGTTCGATTCCTCGTACCACACTTCCTTCTTATTTTTGCTCTTAACGCGTATGCAATCCTCCGAAAATCCCACATATCGTACCTATGTGGCACATGTTAAAGGGGGTGGGTGGGTGTCCAACGAAAATTTGCTTTATGAAGTTTACGAATGTCCCCTAATGACTGTGCTTTTTGCACTATAACCCAAAACATGGGTGTGGCTCCCTTGCTGACGACTCGGTTTTCCCGCTTGTGTTGGTGGCACAAGGACTAAGGAGGGGAGGTTGTGTACTATCAACTCCCGGATCTCGATGCCCTTTGGATATGTTGTAGTGTCCCATGAATGTACAAGAACCCTGAAGTGGTTTGATTCCATGGCCACATTTGCGCCCGCCACACCCACTCAAAGGTGCCCAAAAATCGCTTTCACTCCAGCTTTCACTCACTCAAATCCACCTCAAAAATCCAATTTTACTCCGATTTTCAAATTTCTTTCACCATTATACTCCCAGATAGTTGTTCTCTTATTTCCAATATCAAACTCAACTTTTTGAATTTCTTGGTATTTATAAAATTTAAAATTCTAAATGAGGATTGTTGTAGTAATCAACAAAACAAATTATGCCTGCGAAATAATTATCAAGAAAGCTGAGTTTGATGTTGGAAATAAGAGAGCAACTATCTGGGAGTGTAATGGTGAAAGAAATTTGAAAATCAGAGTAAAATTGGATTTTTGAGGTGGATTTGAGTGAGTGAAAGCTGGAGTGAAAGCGATTTTTGGGCACCTTTGAGTGGGTGTGGCGGGCGCAAATGTGGCCATGGAATCAAACCACTTCAGGGTTCTTGTACATTCATGGGACACTACAACATATCCAATGGGCATCGAGATCCGGGAGTTGATAGTACACAACCTCCCCTCCTAAGCATACTCGAAACCCTGTTTTGATAATATTAATTTATGTACTGGGGCAGGAGATATTTATGGGCTGGAAATAATTACGGCTGGACATAATTAAGGGCTGGAGTTGGTGGGCTGGAGATCGCGGGCTGGAGTTAATCACGGGCTGGAAATGGTGGGCTGGACTCCCACGGGCTGGGGTCGGTGGGCTGGAAAAATCCGCAAATCGTTTACTTTATTTGTCAATGTTTCTATTAGTCTGCAAATCATTATCCATGACTTAATTACTTTGGTATTTATGTATTGGCTAATTAATCCTTAGTGGCGGATGATCAAGTATTTAAGTAGTTCTAAATTTAACCTATTTAGTACGTATGGATTTACGTTGTTAATTAATACGTATTTAAATATAATTAGCAAATTAGTTGATCACCTCGGCCTTGGAATTTATGTAATGCATAAAGTCTGATGGGAACGTTCATACGGCAAGATTACTGTCAAACTGATAAATTATCATGTTTAATTACATAATTACTTTGCATTTTCGTAATGGGTATGATGCATCTTAAGTATTTATACATATTTATGTATACATAATAGTAGGTTCCGATACATGTAATTCAGAGACCGATGTCTACACGATTAGTGATAATTTCCTCTGTTTGTCAATATTGGGGGTACTCAATTGGAATTGAGTACAATGGAACCATTGTTTTATATACAACAGAATATAAGTAATTTATTATGCATCACTTGTGGGCATGATGACTATGTCGACATAACAATGTCTCTCATACACTGTAAAGCATCCGGTAGAGTCACATATGTACCCTGTGCTGGTATTGATTTGATAATAATTCCTTACCGGATTGGTTATAAATAATTTGATTCTGAGTCGTATAGATTTCATTACCACCTTATTACTACGCAGCAACGACCGATATTACCGATGCCGGTAGTCATATATGTACTCCGTTCAGTAATGATTCGTAATCATTCAATATCAGTTACCTAAGAGTGGGCATAAGAGGGTTCTACCCACCAAGAGTAATAAATATGTACATAGATTATGCAACAAGTACATATTTAGTTTAAATCCGTCCAAGTAATTAATCGTATCTCGGCTAGATCGGGATGATACATACAAAATGAGACAATATGATGAGTCTCGTCTCAGTTGTCACATGGACGAAATTTTCGTTTCATATGACGTCATATCTCGTCTCATCTCATCTCGTCGAATCACGTCTCATATCTTTTCAATATCTCGTCTCATGTTTCGTCTCATATTTAGTCTGAAATTTGTATGTGCATACATAGTCTCAACTCGTCCGATCATGTCTCATATTGACCTCTAATCTCGTCTTATGTTTCGTCTCATCTCGCCTTATCTTGTCTCATTTTGCCTCATCTCGTCTTATATTTCGCCTAATCTCCCCTTATTAATTTGATCCCCTTATAAATATTTATACCGGGAATTGCCTATGGAAAAATTGTTGGAAAATTGTTAGAAAGTTTTGACTGATTGATTGGTAATAGATTGATCAATTATTAATTCGTACGAAATATAAAACCTGCACAATTTTGAGACGTGACTGCTTAAATTATGTTAACTAAAACTGGCAGTTTGAACGACGGTTGTCTGACATAATTTGTAATTATAATACAAATTGACGCAACATCTCCATTAAGTGATGCATGTGAATTGTACATGGTCCATACATAAGTTAACTCAAGGGAATAAAATCAGGACCACCTTACCAAACTCGTGTCAGTATTTCATGTCGTTCGGCATAAGTCAGGTTGAATAAAAAATCAGGGAATTACAATTTTTTTAAAGAAGCAGGTAAAAAAATTCCTACAAAAATCCTACACGTACATGTACGTACATAGTGGTTTAAAGGTCTCGCAAAAATGGAACATTTTTTTTAAGGAAAGATTCGTAAATTTCCCATTGTTACCGAAACTTTGTTATAGAATTTTAATTTGAAATTCAACATTTTAAAAATTTTGTCATTAGTGTATGTTAATAACTAATAAAAATCTCATTCCCAAATCCTCATAACTAATTATTGAGATTTATGGGCATATATGTACGTCTTCAAAATTTTCCATTGTAGCGATACATTTAAACCACCCTGTTTATGAGTACTTATTTAGATATTTATTTCGTTGAGCTTATCCAAATTTCCAGAAACTAACGTGCGAACAAAAATGAAGGCTGGCCTGACCCTACTCGTTTTCATTGTTGGAATGGTTACCGTGCTTGAGGCGGCACCACGACAGGCTGAAATGAGCCAAGAAACGGGTCGTATCACCTGGAGATGCACCTGGTCATGTGGCGTCCACAACGTCTGTCTTGGGGCTGGAGCATTGACTGGAAATACGAACAACTGTGGATCCGGGCCCGTCGATTGTGTCTGCGACAGTTTTGGGAAGTAGAAATGCCTTGAAATTAATACATATGTATGGATATGTGCTGTGAATTATGAATTTGTAACGATAACAAACATTAAATATTGGCAAATTAAGAAAATAAAATCCTAGTAAATTGTAGAAATGCGTGAAACCTTTATACTCAACTCACCCTAATGAGGATGTGATTGACGATGCATTCATAACTCCAGATGACTTAAAATTGTTGATTTAAATTACTTATTGCACTGTCATGAAAATTCAAAAATTTGCTAAAACCACTATTTTTAAAATGTTGACAGTGTCAATGCACTTTCATAAAATGAAGCATGCTAAAATTGGCAAAAAGCGATAAACTGGAACTCTAAATATTCATATAACATCTTTCAGTAATCATGAAATTAAAATATACAAAATTCTTGAACTTTAAATTCTTGCTTCTATAAAATTTAAATTACAGATTTAATCAGTAACCGTGGCTAACAGTAATTTAGTTGAGTTGAAAGATTTTCCGTTCATCTTGACGTGACCGGTAAATTTCTAGATGTCGAATAAATTGACAAATATGAATGTTATGTAGAGGACTTCTTGTTTTATACATAACATGTTTGCACACTTACCCACATACATACATACATATTTACATAAAATACACACGAATGTAAATACATAAGGGGTACTCCATGAGTTATGGTAATGGACCTGATGTCGATAATCGATTTTTGTGAAATCCTTCAAGTATGTGTTAGAGGACCTTGAAATATACAGAAAAATCATTTTAAGGTTTCAATGGGGCTGATAGGAGGGGGTGTGGCTTCCGTTGAGATACCAGCTTTACGCAGCAGCTATTGCACGCAGGGGCTCCAAATTTCACATGAAGTTACCATGGGCCAACACAATTGCGGGTCTTTTTCTCTTTTTTGGAAATAAGGTCACAGTGACCGTTTTTAGGTCAAAATGCGAATTATTTCAAATTTTGACGAACCAAGTCTCACATAACCCCATACCTGGGGGATCGTTAGATAGGTCTAGGCAAGAGGATTCATAATATATATACTTTGTCGGATGTTTGGCCACCCCCTGACCTTCTAGAGGCAGAAGAATGTAAATTTTCAATCTCGCCGGATTTTAACATAGCAGCAGATTGGGGATCTAACATAGAAATAGATGGTACAAACTCAAAAATATTGCTCTGACTCTGGAACACCAAGGAGTGGTCATACACCCCACAAAGTATATATATTCTTAATCCTCTTGCCAGGACCTTTCCAACGATACCCCATTTATGGGGTTACGTGAGACTTTGAGTTTTCAGACAAATTTGATATGCTGTGAATTTTGACCTAAAAACGGTCACTGTGACCTAATTGCAAAAAAAGAGAAAAAGACCCGCAATTGTATTGGCCCATGGTAACTTCATGTGAAATTTGGAGCCCCTGCGTGCAATAGCTGCTGCGTAAAGCTGGTATCTCAACGGAAGCCACACCCCCTCCTATCAGCCCCATTGAAACCTCAAAAATTCGGGGAAAATGATTTTTCTGCATATTTTAAGGTCCTCTATCACATACCTGAAGGATTTCAAAAAAATCGATTTTCGACATCAGGTCCATTACCACAACTCGTGGAGTAACCCATAAGTGTAAATACATAAAAAATCATTTTCCGCAAATTACAAATTAATTAAGACTAATAAATTTTTGAAGTTTAATAAAGGATTAATCAGGATTAACTAATCCTTAATCCCAAATCTAAATACATTGTGAATTAATCCTTAATCCCAACAAATTTAATTATTCAATTAATCCTGTATTAATTTAATCCCGGCATAACATTAAAATTCCCACACAAAAATTCAACATACATGGATGTCTGCTATATAAGAGGGGAATATGGAGGGGGTCTCCTGAATTTTTTTGCTCCTATTTTATGCTACATAACGTTTCGTGCAAAACCCAAATAGATAAATACATAAATATGTAAGCTTAATTTATGAAAGTGCTCCCCTCACACAAGAGGAGTTTGCTTATTTAACTATAGCAAATCTAAATATATCTCCCAAACAGTATTTTACACAACTTTTCAATCTTCAAATGTCGTGATGTCTAACACTAATCGTGTAAGGCAATCGGCAAAAGTGTTCGGAATTGTTAATAAGTTTCTTGCTAACAATGGAGAGGTGTCAGGTGGTTATCGCCAATGTGGACGGGACTAATTTTAAATTGTTCAAGCCCAGAAATAAGCCCATCCGTATTTTCTCGTTTTCCTGAATGGGCATATTTACGCCCGTGGCGGAATTTTCAAAAAAAATTTCAGCCAAAATCCTGATTTTTAAAAACGCTGTAACTCTTCGAATTGTTCCCCAATTTCAAAAATTGAATACAATTTGTGCTCAGAATTGCTTTCTTGAAAATATAAAAATTAAAATTCATTAACAAAAATTTAAATTTTCAAAAAATGTCGTTTTTTCCATTTTTAAAAATTCTGAAATGGCATGAAAAAATTAAATTTAAAAATTTTTTGAAAATGAATTTTTATATTATCAGGGAAGTAATCCTGAGCCCAAATTGTATTCAATTTTTGAAATCGGACTAAAATTTTAAAAGTTGGAGCGTTTTTAAAAATCGGATTTTGGCTGAATTTTTTTTGAAAATTCCGCCACGGGCGTAAATATGCCCATTCAGGAAAACGAAAAAATACGAGTGGGCTTATTTCTGGGCCTGAACAATTTAAAATTAGTCCCGTCCACATTGGCGATAACCACCTGACACCTCCTCATTGTAAGATTTTACCGTGGACGCTTCTCTATAGCACATAGGAACTAAACAATAATTTAATGAAAGTAAGAGGTCTATTAGATAAACATAATAATATAGCTTCAGTTGCTTAAGACTCTGTCCGTCTGGGCGAAAAAGTCGTTACCTCCTCACCCCTCCCCCCTTTCCTTTGTCCCATCGCCTCAGCGACTGGCATATCGTGCACGACCAAGAGACAGCTTCGTTCCTCCACTAGACAAGTCAGTCTCGAGGTAACATTCAATAGTTGCACACATATCCTCCGCGCCTAAATCATTTGGAGTTATCCGTTTAAATATGCAAACTGTTGTGCATTGCAATCACTTTCTGAGAACATTTATAGTGAACTGAAAGCCTGATAAAATTATTCATATTGAACCTAATTGTATGTATATATTTATTATAGACTAATTTTAATTAAAAGAATCAAGTTTCATATTATTTTTTGTTGTTTAAATGCACACAGAAAATTGACACACATCCGTTTATCCCGAAGAGGACGCCTATCCAATCTTTGACCACCATAAAATTTGTGCTGGATAAATGCACTACCTTAACTAAAGAAACCTGAGTATGAAAGGACCCTAATTTAGGACATAGTCCTAAGCTAATATGTAAATCTGTATGAGTGGCATAATGATATGAAAAGTTAAAGGTGGTCATAATATAGAAATTGTAATTTTATTTTAATGAGCACATGAATTTTATGAATCTGATTAAAGAATAACAAAAGTTGAAATTTGGATGATTTGCTTGTTACACTTTATGATTTATTCTTATTTTGAAAATAATGAAATTTAAGGCGAATTGATAAAAATAATTCTGTTAGATCCATCCCGTTAAAATCACGCATCTTAAAATACCCCGAACGCGTTTAATCCTTAAGCTTGCATATCTAAAATTGATAAAAGACAGGTTAAAGATTTGTTTCATAACTTAATTTAACCATAAATTACCTCCATGAATGCAACCATCATGCATTGAGTGAGGGGCTGATAATTTACAGGGGGTTAAGTTAACCATGTAACTTAATTAATCTACTACTACAATGTACTAAAGAGCCGTTTGCCTGAAAATTTTCAGAAATAAACCGCATATGTAAATACATATGTATGTACAAACAATTTCTGAAATGAGTTTGCTTAATAAGATAATTCCATATAAAATAATTTCAGATAAGTTTATTTTGTCACTCGTGATGGTAAAGCGTCGCCAATTAAATCCTTACCAGACAATCCTTACAACATATTTGCATCTTAACATGCAAATTTACATGCAAATTTATGTGATGACATAAAGGAGGATTTCCTAATGGCAAACATGTATATACCATCCATGCTACGTAATTTGAGTCAAAATGATTCCCTCAATGAAGTCCGTATTTATCGGAGGTCGTCCAAGTGCTTCCGTTCCCGTCCATGCCTCACCCGATTACACAAGAATTTGACCCCAAGTAAGACCAGGAGAGAGAGGAGAAGGGTCACCAAAATGTAAATGAAGATGACCAACTCATCCTGATAGTCTTCCCCATCCCACCAGCTATTTCGATTCTGGGCACCCGAAGTAGAACCAGCAATTACACTTATGCGAGATTGGGCCGTGGGTAGCATCATTGATGAGGACGAATTTCCGGTCAATCTGAAATTAAGCCCAATATCTGATTTTTTACCCTTGTATCGGTTGAGGTTGCTAAATTGTAAAATTTACTTACCACATGTTAATTAATTTTTTAGAAATATTTGCAGCTTCTAAATACACTGTTGAAAAAGTGGTGAAGTCGCATACGTCCTGGTACTTATTTGGTAATATCTTCTTCCCGAAATGTGTAATAGTTTATTTCTCGGAGGTAAATTTTCAGCAAACTAAATACATATTGCAATGCCTCTTATTACCGTGCAGATGAAGTGGGCACTCTAATCAGTATTGATGCAATACCATTTTAGCTATGAGTGTATTGCTAATTTGAAGTAAAGTTTATGTATTTATGTATATATACATACACATATACATGCATATATGCAAACCGTGGATGGGTGTTTTAGGAAATTTATGTATTTAGTTAGACCAGGGAAGGTGATGAGATCATATTTTTATTTTTGTACAGTGGAGAAAGTATGTATGTATGTATGTATACATGTAGAGCGTGACCGAACAATCTGGGGAGAAGAGACGGAGAAAAAAAATCAATACTTGCTAGTATGTTTATATGTTGCGAAATACATACACATACGTACATATGAAATACATACTATGTATGTATGTACATACGTCCCATATTTTCATTTGTTCGTTGTGCGGTAAAAGTTACAAGATTTTAGCCTCATACATATAAACAAATAGAAGAGAGAAGGCTGGTGGAAATTATCTATGTGGGTGACCCTTAAGAGGTGAAACCCCCTTTATAAGGTTGATATCTCCGTCCGTCTGTTCCTTATTAGTCTGATAAAGCATGAACCGATGCAAATTTTTAGACACATTATTCCGAAGAACGGATACTATTGTTGACATACATATTTAGATAACTTTTGGAAGCACATTGCAGGCAGGAATATATTTCAGTTTAAATTTGTCCACATATTCGCCTATCGATGATATACATTTACATATGTATATTCATTCAGTATGTATGTAAAAAATTTAGTCATACGTTTACGTTTTTAAATCTCGATAGAATCCCGTCTACCGACCTTTTGAATACATACATACACGCAGTTTCTCCAACTCATGCGCGAATAATTCCGCGTCGCCGGTCTTTAACCTGGTTTTTAAAAGGTCAAAGGTCAGAATTTTTATTACACTTCAAAATGAGAGGACAAAGTAAACCCTGATGGATAATTATTTTTCGACTTTCCCATAGTTTTTACTGGATGCTACAAGACCGCAGAACAAAAATAAGCTGTTGGATTTTTTGACGCCGACAGGAATATTTCTCCAGGGTCATATTTATATAAGATTAAAATCGTGACCGTAATTGAAATGTGTAGGTATACAAGAGAATCGTACACAATTTGCATTGATTCCTTAGTACATATATTTCAATTTGTACCGTTGACTTTTTACCTGCAGCTCGATACAAATATGCAACATAATATTTATAGGAGTTATTACCACGTTAAACAGCAGGATAAAAGGTGCGTTAATTATTAACGGAATATACATATGCGACAAATTATAAAAAAATATTTTTTTGAAAATTTCTACGTCAAGAAATTAATATTTATAAGTATATATTTAATATTTACATTATGTAGATGAACAAAATTGAAGTAATTATGTATGTTGCTAATATTTATAGTTAAGTTTTCGTGTTGCGAGAATCTAGAGTAGGATAATTGCAGTTCTATTAATTTTAATTTCTAATAATCCATCGTCTCATCCATCTACTTATTTAAATTCGAGGCGAAATTGTCACATATTCATATATTATTTCCCAAATGTTAAACATTTTTTTACAAACTTATATTTTTCTAATACATAAGCAATTGAGGAAATGGTGACGCATATTGCATAAAGGAGAAAGAGCATTTTAATTTTGTCAACTCCAATGGGCTCTCCTTCCTTAGCAACCTCTGCCGAATTGCTTTCTTTCCTGGTGAGGATGCCTTTTTGGAAATAATTTGTGTAACTTTTTTCCGGAATTCCAAGTTTTACGTTGTAATTATGAAACAATGTTACAATTTCAAGAAAGAGATATAAAGGGTGTTAATAAAGTCCGATCCCATGCATTTTTTGGAGCGTGGTTGTTACAAATTCAGCTGGAACTTTTGAACCAGTGAAGTTATTTATTTCAAATTTTTACCATGGGAGGAACAACTAAACGTGTAAGTCATGAGCATCTTAGAGTTGAGATACAAACATTGCATCAGCAGGGGCTTAAACCTACAGAAATTGTGCAAAAATTGGGCTGCAGCCGCAGAACTGTTTGGAAATGGAAGAATAAAAATTTTGTCCACGACAAAAAGCGACCAGGGCGACCCAGAAAGGTGTCACCTACCACAAAAAGAATGATTAAAAACAGACTTTGCAAGAAAACCGGTAGTTCATTACGTAATTGAGCAAGGGAGTTAAATGACTCAAAACGCTATAAAGAGAAGAAGAAGCAAATTAACTGTGTGACCGTGCAAAAATTTGTGAAAACTACGAAGTGGGGTCACACAGCTTACAAACTAACCAAAAAAACCTCTCATGTCACAAAAATATATCGATGACCGTCTGAAATTTGAAGAACTCCTTCAGAAAAGTGCCCATTTGAGTGAAAAAAGACTTGGTGCAGAATTGCGCAGTCACATCCTTTGGACTGACGAATCTATTATTGAACTATATCCAAAATTGAACCAACAAAATGTTCGTTACAGGACAGAAAACAAATCGGATGTACCATCAAGAGCGATCCCAAAATTCGGGCTTAAAGTTATGGTAGCGGGTGGATTTTGTGCACGTTGCGTGACCCCTCTACATATCATACCAAAAGGCCAATCAGTCAATGCAAAGCATTATATGGAAAAAATATTACCTATCTATTTCGATAGCATGGGGAACAAGGAAATATTTCCGAATGAAAGAAAAATAGTTTTCATGCAGGATGGTGCTATAGCCCATACAGCAAAAGCGAGTTTGAGTCTCATCAAGACGCAAGTTTCAACGGTCTGGAGCAAGGGGGTGTGGGCCGCTAACGGCCCAGATTTGAATCCCCTGAAGAACCAGTGGTCCATACTTAAGGAAAATGTATACAAAGAGCCACAACCCCGGACGAGGGAAGAGCTAGTAAAAAAAAGTTCAAGATGTATGGAATTCGATTTCCAGAGGCACATTGGAAAAATTAGCACAGAGCCTTAAACAAAGAGTTGAGGGCATGGTTAAAGTAAATGGTAACAAGACCAAATACTAAGGTAAATATGTCGAACATTTTTTGTAAGTATCACGGGTAGTTTTTTTTTATACTAGCCTTCACTTTTTTACAGGAAAAATGGGATCGGACTTTATTAACACCCTGTATTTGAAATGTTTTTTCCCAATAGTCCAACATCCCAGCCTCCGCAAGGTAACCAATATTGTTTTCAAATTTTTCCCCAAAAGGGTTTCTGGAGGTAACCCAAGGCATCAGCATTGCATCTAAATACTCCTCGTTATTGTAGATTATGAAATATTTTTTAAACACGCCAAACGACTTTTCCAAAACTTGATGTTTAGATGGAGGATCAATCACAGCAAATATTGAAGGCCTATTTTTCGTTTGATTAAAATAAAACTCCTTATTTAATGATGCCCCTCGGGCAAACCTAAACTGATTCAAACCATCAAGCCATTCTACTTTTTCTTTGAGATCATTGAGCATTTTACGATAGCCCGGTGCGTACTCTCCACCATGAAACATTTGTGGTACCATTACTTCTTTGACATAACTTACTTTTGTATTCTTCTTTCTATCATAATATTCAACACTAATGTCTGAAAATGAAATGATTGGAAAGTGTTTGCTTTCTAGTAACTCCTTTAAATTGTTTGGTAGCTGAGGCACTCTGTTAGTTGTGAAGAGCGAGAAGAATTCTCCACTAAATATACTTCCCACGTAGAAGGCATTAAACAGCCAAATTAAGAAGATACCGTATGCCATAAATACGCGAAGTCTGGTTACCTTAGCTTCCACTGGTTTAACGACAATGTTCGTTCCCTGTTGAAGGAAAATACTGATGGTCCACATGAAAGGGACAAATACAAATGTTCTATTTTTATAAATTACTAGACTCGAGCAACCTCCTAAGAATATTAAAATGGAAAAGGACAAAACATCAAAAATCTTTAGCATAGATTTTGCATTTAACTCAGTTGGTAGGGCGTAAATCGTATACGTCACTTTCTTAAATTCCATAAAGTGCTTGATCCAAGTTAGTCTATAGAGCAGTTCCGGCATCCAAAATTCTTCTACACGTCCCCAGCGGGATATAGCAGGTGTTGCTACTAATCCTATACTGTTTTGAAGTACATTTTTAGTTGTAAAGTTTAGTCTGAACATGAGTTCGGAAACGGGGCAAGTTGTGTGAGGTGTGTACAACCAGCAGTGCTTCAAACTGCAAGGAGTCGTAAAAAACTTGCGATTTTGACCAGGGAAGAATTTTATGGGATGTAGGTTCATATTTTTCATAAGCTGAAAAATCGGATAGGGTCAAGTCCTTAATTGGAAATAATTTTTTCCGTAAAATGCTGGTATCATTTTGATCCCATATCTGCTGAGGTGGAATACAAGAATGGCAGACGATTGATAAGCAATTCGACGTCATGTTGCTGTACAATACGATAGATGTCCGCCGAAAATATGAATGGAAGAAGAAATAGTAGTGAAATTGCAAATGTATAATTCCTGGGTAACGGTCAAGGATGATGACATAATCTGGATCTTCGTTGAATGCTGCAATCCCCCACATTTGGAACACTAAATTAACCGGCGGAGAGAAAAGCAGGGCTATATGACAATTTGAGAAAATCCGGGTAAAATTATTTTCTGTGAATGGGAACTCCCGAATTATTCCAATATCATCCGAGCTAGTAACATTTCCTCTTATGTATCTGTTGTCGGATTCATCTAAGTTTTCCGTGACGAAATTAAAGCTGAGTGCGACATTTAAGTTTTGAAGTTGGCCAGAAATTACATTCCAACTTCCATAGTTTATGCGCTGGTAAAATACTTGGATTGTGCAATGACTTAATCTTTTAACAAATGACGACCAGGTTGCGATTTCTTCTGCAGTTTTCTCTGCTTCATTTGCTGCGGATGGTTAATAATGGTTGAATAAAATACAAAATAATATCACACGATTAATTTTGGCCACCATTTTGCCGAAATATGTATATTGGCATGTTTGAAATACATGGGTAAAACATATATCTGGGAAATATGTGCATATTCAAATAAACATACCCCTACGTACAGGAAATGGTCAAATAAGTTATAATAAAGACCACACCGAATTGAGTTTAGCCAGGACTAGAAACTTCTGTATTACAAAAGGCGTTAGGTGATGGTTTTGACGAATTCTCGGGTGAATAACTTTGGCGGGGAGTTGAATTTTGGACTGATTTTTGGTAGGTTGCAAGATAATACTCTCAAAAAGATATCTTTAAAATTTTAGGGTGATAGCTTCACAAATGCACCCTACAGTGCCCCCGGCGTTGGTAGAAGCCAAAAAAACACTTTCCAAACTTAATTGCTTATATAGCATGATAACCAAAGAGGTCAGAGGTGAATGATTGTTAATATAATAACCCTAGATAATCATTGCATGTAATAATAAAAGAATCCACAATGAATCACACAACGTGGGCCTTCCATCATCGCGGATAGTTTGCCCAAGAAATGATAAATCAGACCGTGCGCGGAAAAATTAACCTGCTGACCTTGAAAGTTGACCCACCGGGTCAAATGCAGCTTGAGGGTAAAGCTGGAAGTGTCCTAAGTAATATTAAAACAAACAGTCAAGATTTTGTGTAAACAGTTTTATAGAAGGACCCGAGCTAATCAGCTGTCGCAGAATCCTAAAAAACTCGTGAACTTATTTGGAAAATTAATGGTCAAATTTTTTCGAAGATAAATTTTAATAATCTTTTGGTGTCCCCTGCTGCAGAACTATTTTATCTACAAGGTACAAGTGACAAAATAATAAAATTATTGGGTTTTGGTTAGTTAAATTATTTCTGAAGTTCGACATCGAAAACGACGGGAACTTTTCCAAAAAGTTTATAAGGTCTGATGAAAACTCAGTCCGTGGGGTGTAACCACTTATCAAAATTTTGTCAAAAGTACTTACAGTGCAATATACTATATGTACCTTGGATAAAAACCACGTTAGGGATTTTTAGCATCAAAGTCGTAAAATGTGGGGGCCTTAAAAGTGGGAGAGTTGCGTTAAAGAGCGCATTTCATTAGGACAAGTATGAAATTAGACTGTAAAACGGACTTAAAAGATAAGCATGAGGCAAAAGTGGTTTTATATAGTGAAAAGCATGCTAAGTCCCTTAAAAATAGTCGCAAAAACTATTTTTGCATCAGGACCTCAGAAAAAAATATTTTGTTCAACGCCATTTTATAAGAACACTGGTTTGGAAAACTAAAAAAGGACACCTCTCCAAATTTGACCTTGCCTCATTTCGCAGAGTACACAAAATCGGAAGCCAGATATGCTTACCTATAGTTTGAGACATGGGCTTTCAGATAAAAAAAGTTAGAAATCTCTACGACTAAAATCCATCCCGCAATTAAGGTATGAATTCGTCAAAACCATGTCCTAACGCCTTTTGTATAACTGCAAATTCCATAAACATTAAATTATTACGAGCTCGTGAGTGTTACCATCCAGGGTAAGGAAAACCCCGGGGTTTTGCTATTCAAAACCCATACCCCGGGGTTTTACCTGGGTTTTGCGGGTAGTCGGGGTAGTCGGGGTTTTGGGGGCAAACTATTAAGTTCAGAAATTAATTTTTAAAATCAGTTTTTCAGTAATTTCGCAAAAAAACTGCTTATTAATTATATTTTATTAAGTAATTAATTTGTTGAATTGCTAGTAATGCCCTGTTATCATATTTAGCAAAATTTGAAAACCCCGACTACCCCGACTACCCCATCTACCCCGACTACCCGTGGGTATTGCTCAAATTTGCTACCCCAAAACCCAACCCTAAAAACCTGGGGTAGCATACCCTGTTACCATCCTAAAAAATACATACATGTATCATATTCCATTGGATTCATATTCTATGGGTTTTCATTACACTGAACTTAAAATAGTTTAAACTTGTAAGCCCACATTTTTAAGTTAAATTAATTTCTTTACATAATCTCATTTTCTGGAGTTACTTGATGTAAACCAGTCCTTAAATTTTACTTGACAACGAATAACGTGTGAATAAATTTTTTACCAACCAAAATGAATAGTAACGTTATACTTTAGTCGTGACCGATATATCGATCAAGTGCAATTTAAATATCGACGAAATCACGTATTTAGAATGAAATATATGTAACACGTATTAGAATTACATATGCCTGTATACATTAGAATTTCTTTCCCATGCAGGAAATGAATTTCTGTATTAGCATACATAAATAATAAACACGAAGATCAGCTGCAAACTAATTTCCCACAGAGTGTGCTTAACGCTTGATTTATCTGACAATTTTTTGTTTAGTTTAAAAACATTGAATGCATTACCATTTTCATGAAGCAACAACTTTGTTTCGCCGAGCTGACGACGAGTCTCACTCGACCCACTTTTGAGACGAATGGCACCAAGTAAATTCCATCTGCTCAAAGTAAATAAATACACTTTTTGCAAAAATATTGCAAATTTTAATTTTCGTCATAATTTAATTCCTATAATTTCTACCCCAATTAAATTATGAGAGTACGCATAATTCCCAAGTCTATTATTTATTGAAGTACGTATTAAGGTGAGTCAAAACTTTTTTCTGGCAGAAACACAACAAAGTAAAATATTATTTCTTCTTATCGTAAAATTACGACTCGTAATTTTCACATTTTAATAGTTAACAAAGGAAAAACAGGACAAATCTGAACCTTAGTTACGCCATTTTAAGTGACGAAATCTTACCACGTTTACAAAACGGTCGTAACTTATCTTACGATACGAAGAAATAATGAGTACCCGTAATTTAAGGGAAATAATTAACTTATAATTTGTAAAATTACACCTCCCCTCAGGGTCATCATGACGACGTGCTTTCTCTGTTTTCAAGTCATCGACCCCACCACCCAGTCACTGTTCCTCGATGATGATAAGCCACCTAGAAAACTGCGAATCTCCACCTTATGCGAATTGCTGTCGTCCTTAACTCGGAAGAAAGTTCCTCCACAATTTGAGGAGGATGAGCGCTGTGAATTTTGTCCCCTTTGTGCCCCCGTGATAAGCGAGATGGAGCAAATTCGGCATCAAATGGCCCTCTTGGAGGAACAAATTGAGCTGAAACTTTACAAAATTCGAGAAATGCTGGCAGATTCTGGATCCTCGGGAGAAAATGGAGCAGATAAAATTAGCAAATTGAGAAAGACGCTGCTCAAATTTACAGGTTGGGTCGAATTACTGACTTATTTTGTAGATAATTTATGTCTTGAGAGGATTCGCAAAATATGACTTCGCAAATCTACTAAAAACACGTATTTTGATTTTATTTCCATGCATTTGTTTAATTTCTCTCTCTGGTGATGGTGAGGATGAGCTTGCGAAATAAGAAAATGCAAAAAGGCTGGGTAAATTTTGCAAAAAAAATCCTACGGTTTTCCAGCAAAATTTGTGCAAAAGTTATGTTGCTCTGCTCAATTTGCGAGATTGACATGAGTAATTAATGGGTTTATTTTTGCTTAGATTCAGAAAAGAATGACGACGACGATCAGCAAGAAGACAACTTTTGGCAGGACGACGAACTGGTCAAAGTTGAAGTTGAACAGGACGAAGAAAATCTGCCCACGGGTGAAGATCATCCCATATTTGATTTCTACCCCGCCGCTTCCCCTGTCGAACAAGATATTAACGAAGAGACGACGGATCCCTTAAAAATTGAAGGTGACGACGATGACGATGATGAGTTCGGATTCTGTATAACTCCTCATCTTCAGACGGGGGAAAGAAGAAGTCCTCCAAAATCTATGGCACCACGGTATTTGAATAGTTAAAACAAAAATTAGTTGTGTGGGAATATTTCATAAAAACATGAAACAAGAAAGCAAGAAAAATGGACTGCTACGTCAACAAAAAAACGACATTTCCACGAATACATAAACAGTTTTCATTGAAAATCTAGCTAATTATTGGTAAATTATCTATTTTCAGTACTAAACGAAAACGAAGTGCTTCTCCCCCATGGAAAAAGCAATTCGAATCCAAATCAAGGAAGGTACAAAAATCTGGGTCCGCCCAGCATGAAGAGACACGTCGAAGCTCTCGTCAAACCAAAAAGGTAAAAATTCCTTATTAAAACAATGTTAAAACCACAGATATTACGGAATAATCCAAAATAATCCAACTTTGTTTAAACGTTTAATTGATAAGATTTAATACTAATTCAGAAACCAAGTCCTGTCTTATCTGATGAAGATATAAAATCTGAGGAAGATACAAAATCTGACGAGGACACAAATTCCGACCAAGATTGGGTTCCCTCTCCCGAAAACGATGATTCTCCACCTCCCTCTCCGAAAAATAATTTGACGCCATACAAATGTACTTTTTGCGCAAAATCGTTCGCCACCGAATCCTCGCTCAGTATCCACATCGCAATCACACGTGACCACACGATTCCCTGCTATGTTTCAACATGTTCGTCCACCTTTGACAGCAAACTCGCCATGCGGACGCACCTGAGGCACGCCCACCCTGGCGTCTCGCCGTATAATTGTCCCCTCTGCGCCAAAAAGTTCAAGAAAACGTACGACCTCGCCATCCACATGGTCGTCCGGCATGAAGACGGCGAAAAGAAATTTCCCTGCGGAAAATGCGCCAAGAGTTTCGCGCTTCTCGAAAATTACAACCGCCACGTGAAACTGCACGAGGTCGAGAAGATCAAACCGGCCGTTTGTGACGTGTGCGATTCCCGATTTGAGGACGAGGAGAGACTCCAACGTCATAAGGAGACGCACAATCCGAGACGTTTAGAATGCGAGACGTGTGGGCTATTTTGTTCCAGTCGGTATATGCTGAAGAGGTAAAGATTTCTGTCAAATTTGAGTTTTTTTTTAAATTACGAAATTTTTTAATTAAAATTACTTACCGAATTTCTTTGGGGTAAAAATACTACAAATTTTGAACATAGGGTAAAAATACCAGAGATTTGTGGCACCAAAATAAATGCCACCAGTGTCTTGTATATAATCAGTGGCCGCGGAAGCCGTTGGGAGATTGGGGACATTAACATTGTAGGGGAGCGAGAGATTTATACAGCATGAACTGACGATAAGGACATCAAATTAACCGTGAAGACATTATCCCTTTGTCCCCAACCTTCTCCGCGGCCACTGATTGTAGTCCTTCAGAAAATCCTAATTAATTATTTCCCTGCAGACACATCCGCCTCCGCCACACTGGCGAAAAACCGGAGAAGTGCGATCAATGTGAGGAATCCTTCATCGACAAGTACAGCCTGCGTCGGCACGTGGCTCGCGTCCACACGTGCACTCGCGACCACGTGTGTCACATTTGCGGCCTCGCCTTCCGTCTCGCCATGGATCTGAGAAAGCACACATACAAAAAGCATGATGAGTCCAAGAAACCCGTCTGTGAAATTTGCGGAGAGGAATTTGTGGAAGCGGGCAGCCTCAAGTCGCACCGAATCCGGGAGCATGGCGATGACCCCTGGGTTTGCGATGAGTGGTAATTACTTAGTAATTGCTCAAAAACTATTTATTAAATGAAATTTAAAATTATGTATGAATTTATTTATTTAGTGGCGCAAAGTTTCTCACTTCTGGTGGACTACGTCAACATAAGTTTGGCCACACGGGAGAAAAACCGTACAAGTGTGACGTAAGACCTAAATAATTTAAGATCGGATTAATAATGACCTTAAGCCTAGTACTCCGGACGGAATTTTCGGGTTAAAAAATCCGTTTGCTTCGCTTTGAAGTAAATTACATCAAATCGGAGTATTTCTTCAAATCATAATTGCAAAATGTTATCTTATTCGCGTTTTATTCGAGGTACCCACACTTCAAGCCTAGTATATACTCGGATTTCTAGCACGAAAAAGTTAACAAAAACGCGAATAAAATGCCATTTTACAATTACTTAATTTGAAGAAACCTTCACATTTGGCGCACACCTTGTATTGAAACTCATAAAGTAATTCCAGCGAAGCAGAAATTTAATTCAAATACAAAACCTGCCGTTTCTCGTAAAAAAATCCGTCCTGAGTACTAGGCTTAAGGTCATCTAATATCACAATTTCTAACTAATCCCATCTTGAAAATTTACAGATTTGTAACTTCGCATTTAGCAAGAAATGGGATCTTAAGCAACACGTGCTAATTCACAGTCGGCAACGTTCCTTCCCCTGCCCTCAATGCGGCGTAGAATTCAAACAAGCCAGAAGTGTCGCCATCCACATCAGGCGGGCCCACACGCCCGCGATCCGGTTACCCTGCCCGCACTGTGAGAAGACCTACCCGCACAAGTACAAGTTGGACGTGCACATCCGACAAGTCCACACGGGGGAGCGGCCCTTCGTCTGCGGGCAACCTGGGTGTGGGAAAGGCTTTGCGAAAAATCCGTCCTTAACCGAGCATTTGAAAGGATGTCATGGCATCGTGTTGCCGAGGAAGCGCAGACGAAAAGTTCCTCACTCTCAGGGAGACGGGACAGGGGAACAAATTGAGTAGAATTATTACCAAATTGGATATAAATGTCACGCTACAATGGAAACTTAGGGATTGGGATTTTTATAATTTATTATCAAAACTGATGACGAAATTTTTAAAATGTTGAATTTTAGAGACAAAATTTCTGTAAGTAATGGAAACTTACGAATTTCTCCCATCGAAAAATTTTCCTTTGCAGCGTGACATGTAAACCACACTGCATGTAAGTTTTGCTATTCGTGATTTATGTATATTTCATCCATTTTTTAAACTTGTCTGCTGTAATAATAAAATTATACTGTTACACTATGTATCATATACATAAACATAATACATTTGCATAAATAATACTTATGTAAGTGGGAGGCTGAAGGTAAACTCATACATACATACATAGATATGTTATTTCAATATGTTATTTCCTATCTGACACGGTTAAATAATAGTAATCGCAAAGATACATATGTACCTGAGGTTCGCCAGGGCTATAAAGTTCTGTTTTCTAACTCCAAAATTAAATTATAACGAACGAAATTGTACGACTTAACTTTGGGAGCCTTGTCCAAGACTTTTTTTAATTCAACGGGTTCCAGACTTTTTCATCGTCATTGAAAATGCAATGCAACGCAATTTCATGGTGGTAATTTGCCCTTTACACCAATAGTTTCGTGTAAGTTGGTAGTGCTGCATTAATATCACACTTTTGTAAATTTCTTTCAAGGTTTTCCACGATCTTATGTCATTTTCAATACCCGAATACATAATACATATAACATTTTCTTTCAATGCATACATCTCATTTTTATCTCTTTAAAATTACATATATTCACCGAGACCTTCTTCCCTGATGTACTTTGAACTTTGAGCATTGAACACACATTTGCATATGCAATTCGTACATGTAATGGTCAATGAACAATTGCATAATTTCAACCATTGTCAAATTTCTTAATAAAAAAAGAAGAAAACTTTGGACAATGTATGTATGAACATTCATATTTACATATTTCATTGTTGTAGTAAAATTTCCTGAATATTTTCATGTATGAAAGTACATATTTATGTATCCTACTGATATTTGCATACATCACATCAAGTAACACGCAGTTGAAGAGTTATTTTCGAATATAGATTATGTAGTATTCTGCAATTTCTTAATAGCTTCAAATGCGTCACACCCGATTGAAGTATTTCTTAAAAATGTCGACTTATCTATCGCAGCAAATTCACGTGTTAAACATTCCCAATTTTTGTGTAGTATTTAACATCATAAATTTACAAACTTTATCAAATTACGATAACTACTTGGAAAACCAGTCTAAATTTATCTCCACTCCGGAAAAATTCGTTAATTTCCATGAGAATAAGAATTTTAAAACAAGGATAACCAACGTTTATCGAGATCCGTGCAACATATATTTTTTCTTGGGTATCTCGTACAATCAAACTTCTCAAACGATTTCCTCGTCTAATCTCCTCTTTAAAGAGAACACTCTATTTTTACTGGTTTCCGAAGATTCCGAATTTCTGGAAACTTTCAACGCAGAAATTTCCGATACAAGTTTCCTCGCCTTATCAATCGCACATACCCAAGGAATTTATATCAATTTAGAAACCAGTGAAACTAAATTAATCTGCATTCCCTGTCAAGATAAAAATAATCTCAATTTCAAAAACATCAATTTAAAAACCGCGCCACATTTCAAAATTCCCTTTCCCGCCATTCTCGGCTTATCCACCATGGGCTACGGAGGCCCGCACTGTTACAAAGAAGAATTCTCGGGCTACTACTTTGGCCGAATTCCGAACGAATGCCGCGGCTATTTGTGCGCCATTTCGATTTTAGCGGGTAGTTTAAACCTCACCCTGGAATTAGATCCCTTCATTGATGACGAAAACCCCAACCCCTTCACGATCATGGAGCCCTTAGTCATGAGTCTCCATTTGCCCCCAATCTTTGAAGAGGTCCTCAAACAAGGCGGGAATTTTGGGCTGAACGCCCCCGTTACGGAACTGCTCTATTATTGCGTTCCCTACTCCCGCTTTATGCGGCCCGATTGGGCCATTTTTCTCGAACCTTTCGAATCTTGGGTCTGGTTTTCGGTTATCCTGGTCATGGCGGGAGTTTGTGTGCTAATCCAGTTTAAAAATTCTGGCGGGAGAAAAAAAATTCCCGCTCCAATCCAGTACTACACCTATGAACTAATGCGTTCCGGATTATTCGTCTTAAAAGGAGATCCCGACGCACATATCGCTTCGAATTTAGGCGCCCTCCCGCTCCTCGTGATATCCCTGCTTTCCTACAACTTCCTCCAACCCGAGTACCTCGGCCGGGTAACTTCCGCCTTCATAACGCCCGGGAATATCGAAGAAACCCGGGATTTATACAGTCTATTAACCCACAAAGGATACAAATTACACTTCAATACGGACAGCATCATCAACACTTTGGACGTAGCTATCCTAAATTTGCGCATGCGCGGGTCGGAAATAAACTGGGACACGCAAATCTCAATTTGGAACGATTACTCCATAAAATCGCGTCTTTTCGAATACCTCTTCGAAGTCAGGAACATCGACAAAACGCAGGAAAGCGAAGTTCTTTCGAGCGTTTTAGGAAGCGGGGACCATTTCGTGGTTGGCGGGATGAAGTGCGTCATCCTGTACGAAACGGATTTCGTGATTAATAAGGTTTACGTGGGGGTTAAATATTTTGCGGGGCGGGATGTCCTCCGGGTTTTTAAGATATTGCAGGAAACCGGGTTCGAAAAGTTTTGGTGGAAGGTGGAAAGTTGGGGGCGGGGGGAGTATTGGAGGGATCTTGGGAATCGGTTTGGATCTGGGGTGCAGTCGTTATCGGTTTATTCGCATATTCAGATTCTCTTTTATATTTATTTGATTAGTGGGGGGATTGCGATTTTTGTGTTTTTGTGTGAAGTTGAGAGTAAAAGTGGGGTTTTTGAGGGGCATGGGGATGATGTCGTTGAGTTTTGAGAATTCGTATTTTACAATCATACCTATTTAAAAGCATTTTTTTCATTCAAAGTTCAGTCATCCCGATTTGTTCATTCACCTTCGGTCAATTTCTTTCACCCTCATTTCATTTGACTTCATTTCTTACTTCGCCTCGCCCCATGTATTAAGTATAGGGTGAAAAATGAAAGCAGTTAGAAATCCTTTCATTCACAGTCACTCATCTGAAATGATTGAATTTTTCACTCGTTTTCTTTCAAATCACTGGAAATTCATTTTCTACCTTAATTAATCACTTCAATGAAAGTTAACAGGTATGAATACAATGCGGTTGTTGTCTGACTTACGGTCTCCCAATGTATGCTCGCAGATTTTGACAAAATTAGTCTAATAAAAAAATAGTCTGTCGGTCTATCCGTCTGGGGCAAAATGAGATTTTTACTAAAATTGAATCTAAATATGTATACATGAAATTAAGGAGGGGAGCTTGCGAGGTTGATAATAACAGATCTCGATGCCCTTTGGATATGTGGTAGGGACCCATGAGTGTACTAAAACCCTGAAGTAGTTTGACTCCATGGCCACATTTGCGCCCGCCACACCCACTCAAAAATGCCCAAAAAACGCTTTCACTCGAGTTTTCACTCACTCAAATCCACGTCAAAAATCCAATTTTACTCGGATTTTGAAATTTCTTTCACCATTATACTCCCAGATAGTTGCTTTCTTCAATCCAATATCAAACTCAACTTTATTGATGATTATTTCGCAAACATAATTTGTTTTGTTGATGACTACAACAATGCTCATTCAGAATTTTAAATTTTAAAAATACTAAAAATTTCGAAAAAATTGAGTTTGATATTGGATTGAAGAAAGCAACTATCTGGGAGTATAATGGTGAAAGAAATTTCAAAATCCGAGTAAAATTGGATTTTTGGCGTGGATTTGAGTGAGTGAAAACTGGGGTGAAAGCGTTTTTTGGACATTTTTGAGTGGGTGTGGCGGGCGCAAATGTGGCCATGGAGTCAAACTACTTCAGGGTTTTAGTACACTCATGGGTCCCTACCACATATCCAAAGGGCACCAATATCTGTTATTATCAACCTCGCAAGCTCCCCTCCTAAGTGAAATCAAGTATTCTCATGATATGATGGGGGTTGTAGGAGTGAAGTGAGACGGAAGTTACTTCTTTATGCGCGTTCATGACGGCTTGTTTTATCGGGCACATGAAAAATGAAAAATGTTTAAAATTTGCTAATGCGAATTAAATAAAAAAATACAATAATTTTAATGTTACATTAACAATAAAAAATGTATTTATTGCATGGAAATAACAAAGAAATTCATTCATCATGTTGAACATATAGTAACTACAGGAGTACATTACATTGTTAATAAATAACCCATTGATATACTTTATGCAACTCGGTTTACTAGCAAACGGAACACAAAATTATGCACCATACCCAAAAATTCTATAATCGCTAAATAGAAATGGATTACATAATAAGAAATGAAGCTTTACCATTTGAAAAACTCATTTAAATATCTAGATAAACATAGGTAATGTATATATTATATTTATAAACGTGTGAATATTGTTGTTTCTGTCCTTTATGTTATTCGTTGTCGACAGTAAGGGGGTCATTTTGATCATTTTTCTATTGTGTTGCCCTCTTTTGGACATTGGCCTCGTCAGTCGTGTCCGTCTCGCCTGCATTATTGTCCTCTTGGAAATTGGCCTCGTCAGCCATTTTCGCCATTGCCTTCTCATCCTTCTTCATTTGGTTTTTCACTGCAGCAATTCCCTCCAGAGTAAACTCGGGAATCATGCATACAACCTCCGTCAACAATGGAATGTCTGAAACCTCGCATCCGAGTCCTTGACGAACATCAATGCGCTCTTCTTGATACTTTTAAAACGATTCTTGGCGCTCAAGCATTGCGATTAGTCCCCTTTGTGCGTCGATTTTCCTTTGACTGATCTGCACAGACGCTTCAAGCTCCAAGTGCCGAGCCTTCAAAAGATCAATCTCTGCCCTTAATTCGTTCATGACATCTCTCCGTTTCCGGTACCCCAACTCTTTGACAACGTGGTGCAAGATCTGTAAAGGTGAGTTCGCGCCAAGGTTTGCTGGCCCTGGACTTTCGGGAAGATTTTCTGATCGGGGCGAGGACCCTGGTTTTTTGTTAGGGCCAACGTTTTCGATACTACCAGCGCCATGTTTGTCACCCTTTCGTGGTCTAGATGAGGTTTGATCTTGACGTTCCATATTTCTTCAAGTTATGTATGTAGAATCTGTTTAGAAAGATGGTAATAAATTAAATTGACACAATGTACAAGAAACCATGCAAAATTAAGCATGAAATGTTAAGCTATTTGTACCTCCAATTTACTGCAAGTGGTCACACTCTGGCACGAATGCGGGAATTTTAGTATAAATACCAGGTAGGAACTGCGGACAATAAATATATATTGGCTCTACCGGGTACACCTGCACATTTGTGCGACCTCGTGCGATCGTGTGCGACACAACCTGAAGGTAAATCAGTTTGAAACTGGCTTAAACCGAACCAAAAGGATTGGTCTGGTTCACCCACGAGTTAGGAGTACCTCCAAAAATCAAAACCGGGTTCAACCCAGCCAAAACCGCACCGACAAAAGTAGTGTGGCCCACCACGAGTAAAGAGTGTCTCCAAAAATCAAAACCGGTTTCAAACCGGCCTAAACCGCACCGACAAAAGTAGTTTGGTCCACCACGAATAAATGGTGTCTAAACCGTAAAGACTGTGCGACCGTACCACTGCGTCTCAAATGACGCACAATTTCATACGTTACCGAAGGAGGAGACCAATGGGAGATGCATACATGGGTATCATGGGTATCATAGAGATACATGGGTATCTCTTCGGATTAAATCATGCCACATTTTTACACACTCTAAAAAATTATGTTTTTACAAGTGAAATTTCTAATTAACTTGACGAAAATAAACATGTCAATTGGAATTGAATCGTGAATTAATTACAGAGACTGGTCAATCCCGGATTAAGGATTGGGGATTGAGATTAGGATTGGGGATTAATTAATCCTCAATCTCAATCTTTAATCCCAAGTTCTAGAATTTTAATCCTTAATCCCTAATCCCCAATCCCTCTATGCCAAGTTTAATTCTAAAGTGGGATTAGAATGGGATTAAAATGGGATTAAATTTGCAATGAATGAAAAATCGAAAAGCTAACTTCTCTTAAGATCGCTCCCTTTTCAAGAATTGATTGCATTTCGTTCATTTTTATCACATATTTAAAAATACTGCACATCATTTTGCAAAACTACTCATAACGTGGTATCCTCAATGCACAATTTTCAACATTGGTGTGAGCAATGTGAGTGCTCTGCTCAAATTCTGGTCAAAGTTTTCATTTAAAAATAGTACCTAGAGTAAAATTAGCATTTTTCCCGTATATAATTTTTAGTGCAAAAAATATTCAATTGCCATTTAAAAATTGTATTCCTAAACGATCTAATTTTGCATGTGAAATGTTCAAAATATTTCTTGGTCCGAAGTTCAGATTCATTTAATTAATTTAAAAATCCGGCATAATGAAATTTAATGCAAACAATTAATCCAGGACTAAATTAATTCCCAATCCCAGAAAACTACCCAAAATTTATTCCTGAATAAATCCCAATCCCAGATTGAATTCAATCCCTAATCCCAATCCTTAATCCCACAATTTTAAAATTAATCCTTAATCCTCAATCTCAATCCTTAATCCCGATATCTTTAATCCGCCAGTCTCTGATTAATTAGTGTCGAACACCAACTCTACACTTTTAAAAATGATTTTACTATTTTGAAAAGTGAATGCACTTTGAATTAAGCACATTATGCGAAATCCAGACTACACTTTACTCTTTATCAAGAAAGCAAGTTCGGATTTAGTATAATTTACTTAATATGAAATTTAGAATGCATTTACTTTTCAAAAGGGTAACACTATTCTTAAGAGTGCAGAAATAGGTTATTAAATGCAAAATGAGAATGGTTAGTTTTAAGGAGCATGAATAATTATGTAAACTTGCAACTACCGAACCATAGATTACATTTTTTTTTAAATTTTTTCTGTTTTTTGTAAAATTTTTGTAGGTCTTTCATTCCAAAGTTTTTTTTTATTTCCTATATATTTATTTACGTAATTTAGTTATCATGCAAACTATGTGGATATATAATTAATTTAATTTACATGTTCTCTTAAAATAATTAACTTATTAAACAAGTGCAAAAATCTGCCTACTTATTTTAAGCTTGATTATTCGCTAAAATATTTTTGTTTAAATTCGTCAACCCGACATTAAGCCTGTTTAAGAAACCGACAACCCCATTCAGAATACCCGGGAGGGTAAAGTTACTCCCCGAATTGGATCCGACGGGTTGTTGTTGTCTTCTGAATTGGAAATAATCTCCGAGCGGGCTTTGTTGCGGTGGGGGCGATCCGACCGGAGTTTTCGGGGGGATATGAAGTGGCGGTAGGGTCGGCAGGTCGGCACCTTTGAAGTTGGAGAAATCATAAATGTCTGGCTCACCGCTGTTTTGCTGAAATCCGGGCACTTGATTTTCGCCCGGGACAAAATTATTGTTTTCATTTCCGGGTTCGCCGAAATTTTGGCGTGGTGGTGTTTCGGAATTTCCGGAAACTGCGAAATTTTGCCTTTCAGTTTTTACCGGGAGGCTTTGAACTAAATTATTATCCTGATTCACTCCGTTGGCTCCTTCAGGTCTGAATCCTTGCCCCGAAAATTGCCCAGGATTCGGTTGTACGAAATTATTCCCTCCGGAAACCCCGAAATTTTGTCCCCCATTATTCCCCTGGACGCCTTGAATTAAATTATTCAGATTTCCTCCGTTTGCTACTCTGAATCCTTGCCCCGAATTTTGTCCGGCATTCGGTTGCACAAAATTATTACCATTATTATTTCCGAACCCGGGATTTGGTTGAACAAAATTATTTACGACTTGTTGCCCAAATTCATTTTGTCCGACACCCTCCTGCACAAAATTGTTGCCATTATTGCCATTCCCAAGTTGTTGCCTCACTTGTTCCAGCGGGGTGGGAAATTGTGCCAGGAAATCGGGCGGGATGAAATTTTCATGATAATCGGGCCGATCTTGAATCTGCACTTCTTGCGGGGTCGAAATTGAGAGGAGATTTATGAAAAGGATAAATTTCTGAAAATTTATAATATTTTTAAATTATACGTAACGACACAACGAGGCACTTCACGTCAACCTTCGTAACCACGTAAGTTTACGATGATCAGTTTACAAACAAAAAACATGTACTTATTAGGTTTTTATAAGGTCGTAAACAAAAATTTCTTTAAAGATGTTCGTAAATTTCATAAATTTACGTAGTTACGAATTTACAAAGACTGACGTTAAATGTCTCAAATTTTGTTCAATTTTTAATTTTTCAAATTCACAAAATTTCAAATTTTATTTACCAAGCCGACTTCCATGATAAATATTTTGAGGCAGAATTTAACTGGATTATTAATTAACTCCCAAATTCGCAATGGTCTCTTCAGCCAAACAAAAGCAGAAGTGATGAAAAAGGAAGGATAAGTTGTAAACAGATTCTGCAATTTTAGGCAGGAAGAGATAAGTACAAAGACATAAATTTGTGCATGCATCTCATGACCGGGACCGTGCATAAAGGATGTCACAATTTTTTTGTACTTTTATAAATTATTTATAACCCTTTAACCACGTGGCGTATTAATTGGAAGAATATGTAAAACGTCTTGGACCGTATCATACATTGTTTTAAATTGAACACGTGCTTTACGCATGACCCCCCAAAATTACATACTACCGCATAATAAAAATACATAAATTGCATATGCACTTATTATTAGATTATCATCTAACTTCACTTTTTAACGGCGACCTTTGTATCTTGATCTGTACATTTTACAAAGATTGCACATTTCTATGTGTGTGGGTATTCTCAAGTTTAGATGCTTAAATGTTTTCTGCTTTTGAGTCAAGCTTGGTTAAGTGGGTCAAGAAAATTATGGCTTAATTTAATTAATAAAAACCTCGAGTATGTACATAGGTAAGCAGCATACTTATTCCTCGTTCCGTGCACGATAGCAGTGCAACGCAACGTAAGTACAGATGTGTTTAATAACGGGGCAACAGGGTGCCTAACAAGGCGTGTTTTTGTTTCAACAATTTGATTTTTAAAAAAATATTTTGATCACAAATTTTGTAAATTTGATGGCTTTAGGTCTTTTTTTAAAGTTTGATTGTACACAAAATTGGAAGATTGAACTTTCAAAGTTAATGCAGCATGAAGAATATTGTCAAATAGAATGTACACAATTTGACGAATATTTGTCACCCTACACATTGTACAATTTTTGCTTAGACCTTTGTAAAAAAAATGTAGAATTTTATATTTCATAGACTAAATAATTCTATGAATTAAATAAACGACATTTCTCACTATTACAAAAACACTGAATAAAATCAGATTTCTTTAAAAAAAACACTGTGTTTTTGGTAACCCTGCTTGTCATGACTCCCGTCATTTCATCCACGGTTGACGCAACCTTCAAAACAAGTCTGATGTCACGATGGCGTGAATGTCATAAATATTTACTCTAAAGACACTTTACTACATAGATACATACATATGTATATAGTTATAACTGTGTAAAATGCGTAAAAAACGAAACATAATTATTTATCACACAATTTACAAATGTCACAAATGACGTAACTCTTTAACAGTTTTTTAACGCTGTAAAAACCCTTATTTTTATTGAAACGGAATTATTTCATAAAACGGTACGTAAAATAAAAATCACACCAATTTTATGACAGCAGGCGTAGCATTTGATTATATTGCATATTCCGTTTGTCCGCTAGACCGTCAAAGAGTTATTTTTACATCAACAAATTAAAAAGAAACAGGTCCATTGTTGAATAATTTGCAAGTTTACTAATAATTTCTATTTTTAGTTTTAGTTTTTTTTTATAACTTGGATTATTACGGATTAATTTCCCACCCCCCTCCCTCCCTTATCATGCAAAAGTGGTGTTACATTGTCGTCAAAATTGTGACAATTTTTTCCGATAATTCAGTAGTAGGAGTAAGAAAAAAAATACATGTCAAAATTATGTGACTACAGTAGTAGTTTCTGTCTATTAATTATGCAAATTTATGCTCCACCTCCGATGCAAAAATTATTAACGTATTTGAATTATTATTTATTACAGGGCAAATTACTTCCAACGTTCATTTACATATATTCTTATGAACAATTCTATCCCCCATGAACAAATTCATTCTTTAATCCACCCTTAAATTGGTAAGTTCAATATCATTCTTGGCCAGTTTCTTGTAATGTATCCCTGCCTCATAGGCAAGGTGAAATCCGACAAAAATTCCAACCAGATAGAACGGTATAGGTTTTGCCCATGGAACTTTGCTTGGCGTCGTAGGAAACATGTAATCCATACCGAACAGAGATGCACAAGATAGCAAGGTTAGAAGGTAAATAGTTCCAAATAAAAGGCATGAATATGCCGCATCACGGAGTTGAGTATGATTTGATTCCTGTAAAATGTGAAATAAAGTGTGTACCGTTAACTTTTTGTATTATTTGTAGATTGAATATCAGAGGTGAGAAAAAAATTGTCAAAATACGACATGCATTTTTACAAAGTACTTTTCTCACCTCTGTTACATAAATTATGAGCAAATACTTATTTACTTCAGGTACAAGATTGAGTGCTCTGGTGAGCACGAAATATCCAGCAGGTATGCTTGATGCAGTCAGGCATATGTAAATTCCAACCATAACGTACATAACGCACGTTGGGATCTGTTGTGAGCATGGCAGACCACGTAACTTCCGGAGAAAGTCGCGACCAGGGATAATATCTCCGGTCGTCGACGATCTGTATCCTAAGGGGTCGAAGTCTTTGCTAATTGGGACCATGAGAATTGAACCACCTACCATAGTTATGTTGATATGAGTGATATTGGGTAAATCGGCGTATTCCTGTTCTATATAAACACATATTATATGGATGAAATAAAATTTTAGTAAGGAGCAAACTCAATTATTGTAAAGTGTAGAGATGAGTCGGGTCGAACTTTTTGAAAACCCGACCAGGCTAATTTTGGGGCCCGATCCACTTTACCCGGCTAATTTTTGGACCGGATCCGCTTTACCAGGCTAATTTCTGAACCCAACCCACCTTACTCGGCTAGTCGCAACCTGCCCGAAGCCGACAAGGTTAGTGGGTTCGACAGGGTTAATCCGTGACCCGACTCACCTCTAGTATCGTCAGTGCAAGAAATAATGGAAATCAAACCTATTCGTTTAATTAACTTTTTATTGGATTTGTCATTATCTTTGAATGCACTTATTCCAGCCATGATATGTATGAAGGCGAATACCTGAAAAAATTATGAATAATCTTGTTAAAAGTATTCATAAAACATATTTAAGTATGTATGTCTGTAGGTACTCTTCAATCGCAGAGGATTCAACTTCCACAGAAATTGAGAATTCTGAGAAACTACGCCACTGTCAATACCAAATTTTCCCAATTTTGCTGACGGGAAAATTTGAGGCTCAAAAGTATTAATTCTGTGAAAGTTCCATCCTTTGCGAATGGGGAGCACTTTCTACTAGGAATAGCTTTTGTAGACGAGGTGAACACGTGACCGTATTTACATGCATTAAAGCAGGTTCGTTTAGGCGTGCACATAAGTGGAAGAAAACTTATTCAATGAGTTTACAATGTTGGTCGGTTTTATTTGATTTTTTTTTGATTTTATGTACTGGGTTTACTTTAAAATTGCATTCTAAAAGTTGAAATATGTATGTATCTTTCATTATATATGTTTAGACGAAGTTGTTTAACTGGAAGAACGAAATTATGCCTAAATAGCCATGTGTCCCAAGCCATTTATCCCTAGTTCGTTTAATCTTTACGTATGCAAGTTATTCAGAAACACATAAGTATGTAAATACTTACCATTTCCAATTTCACAATAATCTTGTACCACTTTGAGTATTTAAATTTACTTTGAGTCCTCGAGCCGGCAGAGTTGTTGAGATTAATTAAAGAAGTATTTTGGGAAGCCATTTTTGCAGGCAACTAATTCTTTCGTTTGTTGGTGATTAAAAGAGTAAATTATTTGTTCCTGTATTTGCTATAGAGGTAAAATGGATATCCATTTTTTTGGTAATCCATGGCAGATAACCCGACCCGGATGGATCTGGAGAATTTAAGTTGAATTGGATTTTAATAGATCCGATCTGAAATTTTTTTTGAGTGAATCAGATTTGGATGGATCGAATCTTAAAAAATTGCGATCCAACTCACCTCTCTGTATTTACCGAATTGAGATGTTTTTAAACCTTAAAATAGAGTTCAAAATATGTTTTGTAGCACGTACGCATTTTTTTTATGTCGTAGTACGATTATGACGTACTGGTTGTCTCGCAGATGTTTTGTTCTACAGTGGTGAAAGCATAGATATGCACGTCCGGTTTAGTTCGGGTAGGTACATACATTCCCGGAGAAAGTACTGAAGTACGGCATACATACATAAAATAATATTTCGTGTTTTTGGTTCATTTTATGGCTTTTGGTAAAATTCTAAGATTTGTATACCAAATTACCAGAAACTGATAGTTTCATGCAGTTTTCTTATAATATGTAATGGGCCATTGTGAGAAATTTGCACTAACTTTTGTCTTAGTAGATTCATTGCGAATGAATTAAGTTATGCTAGAACTTTTTTATTAAAAATAGTCTTACACGAGCCAAAAATAAATAAAAAAAAACACTCATTTCCTGCATGGTCATATTTTGAGGATTTTTAAGATAAATTTTCGTTCTTAAATATTTTGCGGTTTTATGCATATGAACATTCATATCCAACGTCGCCTTATAAATATTAAACAAATATGTAACAGTTTCAATAATTAAGGTGAAGATGTGATGGATAAAAAAAATGGGCGTTATTGTTGTCGGTAAGAACATTTTCAGAGTAATTTAATTTCCATGCAAAAATCAGCATATTTTGTGTCTGCATGCATTTCAAGTTTAAATGGGACGTTCATAAATTATGTTACGCTTATCGCAAAATGATAAACATATTGGAACTTGGGAACACAGAAATATTATCACTCTTATGGGTGACAGGCCATTACTGGAAAAATATTTGACGTTTTTCCACATCCTGCATGCACGTCCCCCGCCCCATTAAAAGCTCGGGAAAGTCTCGGATTGCACGGAGCAGGCCCGGCCCGGCCGTCAAGGAAAAAAGAAACCACAACACAAAAATCATCTGCTGCTCGTATCTCATTTCTCAAAATTTTGAAATTTTTTGAAATAATTGCAATTTAGCAATTAACTAAATTCTAATTTAGGGTGTCAAGATGGACACACAAGTTAGCCAACGTGTCAACAAGTTATACCAACAACTTAATGTTTTACAAGAGTTTATCGAACTCAAATTTGGTAAAAATATTTATTATTATTTTATTTATTTCCGGGATAAATACATTTTTAAATCCATTTCATTCCTGAATTCTAAAACTGGCTCGCAAAGTTCTTAATAAAGAATCCAAACTATAAATAATCAATGAGACAATTCACGCAGTATTTTTCGTGTAACTTTATAAAATCCGTAATTTTGCAAAATGCTGTTATTGACAAACTTTTACTAAAAGAGAAGCTCTTCATTTTAGCAAAAATTTGCAAGATAAAATAATTTGCAAGGCAATTTGCACATTTCGTTGTAAATATTTGTAAACTTTGTAAAAGTTTTATCTGATCTTATTTTATTTTGTTATTAATTTTTGCTCATTAAAGGTCAATTAAATACGTCAAAATACCACATTTCGTAAATTTACTACCCCAAATTTACTAATTATTAAATCGAATTAATAATTTACTACATTTGAAATTGGTTGCAATATTTCTCTTCACTTTTCAGGTTCAGATTACAAAGAATTCCAAAAATTCAAAGCCGCCAATCCCACCAAAGTGAAAATGGTGGTGGAAGTAGATTCCAGCAACCTGAACTTTGACCCTCGACCCAACCAGTCACTCCTCCCCCATTGGGACAACAACGTCGCGGGAGACGAGGGGGACGTCAAGGTAGAAATCGTCACCCGTGACGATGATGACGACGACGATGACGACGACGGGGATGAAGATGACCTCGCAGTCGGACAGGATCCGCTAATTAATTCGGGCCCTTCCATCATTTATGGTGAGATTCTATTTAAGCAGTTAACTTTAATTAATTGTTAATTAATTAACTAGGCAACAATTGCTCCCCTGGGACTAGTGCAGCAAATAATCTTAGTCTACTCGGACCCTACAACGCGGACGAGATGGATAATTACAAACAAGTCAGTGATTAATTATTATTATTATAATTAAAACTGCATTTTAAATAATTCAATTTATTAGTTTTATATAAAAAACTCGGAATTTATCATAATTTTTATACCAGAGATTCATGCAGTTTTTTATGTGAACTCTAAAATTTATTTAAATTGGTTTGGACGGTACTATTTGAGGACATTTTGACTTGATTTTATTGATTATTGCGAGCTTTCGATCGCTTACAGCGGATCATCATCAGGCATAAATTAGTTTGAAAAAAAGAAAACAGATACTACAACGTTGTTTGAATTTTTGGAAATTTCAATGACATAATATTCATGGATACATTAAAAAATTAATTAGTGTTGTGGACCAGATAGAGTTTATGGGCATTCCTTTTGATATATTCATCCGTTCTTCTTTTTTTATGTTTCTGATGAATAATCCTTCCTTGAATTTTCTGTAAAATTTCCTGGGTTCCTTAAGTATGAGTTTGTGGGAATTGGGGTCTAGTTGATGATTTTGTTCAATCATATGTTTCGCAACGGGTGAAATTGTTGTTGCTTCATTTCTAATGGCATTTTCATGTTCAGATATTCTTGTTTTGAAGTCTCTTTCGGTTTCCCCTATGTATTTGGCAGGACAGTCATTGCATTTGATGGAGTACACGCCGCATTGAGTTTTCTTGATTTTTTCTTTTGTATTGCATATCATTGTGAATAGCTTAGGTCCAGGATAATAGCCAATTTCTACTTCTAATTTTCTTTGTAAATATCGTGCAATTTTGGTTGTGACGTTTCCTGCCCAAGGTAAAATAATCCGTTTTTCTAGTTGTTTGGTGTCTTGGTTTTGTCCTGCGTTAATTTTTCGTTTGACTTTCTTCAAGCGGTATCGAATCATAGATTCTGGGTAGTCATTCTTTGTGAGTATTTTGATGGTGTATTCTATTTCATTGTTGAGATGATCTTTGTCTGAGAGTTTGAACGCTCTTGTCAGCAGCGTATCAACTACTCCAATTTTGTGTGCAGGTGGGTGGAAGGAATGGAAATTTAAGTATTTATTGGTGTGTGTTGCTTTTCTGAAAATGTGATGGCCTAAGCTTCGGTCTGGTTTTTCGTAGAGCATCACGTCTAGAAATGCTATTTTGCCATTTTCTTCTTTTTCTACTGTGAATTTTATGGCATGGTGAAATCCATTGATTTGATTGAGGACAGCTTCCAATTTTCTTTTTCTAATAATTGCAAAAATGTCGTCAACGTATCTCCTCCAAAAGATGATGAACTTGTTCCTGGTGACTAGTTTGTGTTCTAAGCTTTGCAGATAGAGTTCTGCTACAATTGCTGAGATGGGTGAACCCATGGCTGTTCCCTCTGTTTGGTGGTAGAATTTTCCGTCATATTTGAAATACGTCGATGAGAGGCATATTTCTATTAGGTCCATAATATCTTCATTTGTCAATTTGGTCCAAGATCCATCATTTTTTCGTTTAGAAGTTTTTTGATGTAATGCAAACTTTCTTCTATGGGTACCTTTGTAAATAGTGACACCACATCAAGTGACACCTTTGTGTCCCCTGGTCGAATTTTCAGGTTTTTTATTTCGGAAATAAATTCTGCAGAATTCTTGATGGTGTAAACGTGATTATTGCTCAATTTCTTCAAAATATTTGATAGATAAGAAGCTACTTGGTATGTTGGAGATTGTCGGAAGTCAACTATTGGGCGTAAAGGTACATTCTCTTTGTGAACCTTTGGTGCTCCGTATAAGATTGGTGCTCTCGTATTTTTTATGTTTAGTTTGTCATATTCCATTTTTGTGATTTTCTCCTCTTCTAGTAATTTTTTGCATCTCGTCTCAATTTCCTTTGGAAAATCTTGGGTGGGATCAGCTATTAATTCATTATACGGGCCCTCTTGAATTATATTTTCCATTTTTTGTTGGTAATCTGCTTTATCCATTATTACTACCGAATTCCCCTTATCTGCTTTACATATGCATATGTTTTGTGAATTTGTTAATGATTTAATTGACGTTTGTATCCAGTTGTCCCATTTGTTGAGGTAGTTTTTCTTATTAATATGGGACTTCATGATTTGGGTGATGCCGTCTCGAACTTGATCCTTTGTTTGATCTGTTAATTCTAAATCATAGTTCATTTTTAGTTCTATGGCTGCTGCTGAATCTATTAGTGGGATACGTAAGTCTTTCACTGGGAGAGAGTAGTTTAGTCCGAGTTGAAGTAATTTTTCTTCGTCATTTGATAGAGGATGAGAAGAAAAATTATGAATTGTTTTCTTCAGTGTCTCCTCCTCTTGACGTGCGGGGACAGGTAAAGTCGCAATTTTTTTGTTCATGAGATTAGTGAATTTTTGGATATGTTTTTGTTTGATCTGACAGGAATAGCTTACTGTTGAGTCCTTGAGTAATTTGCATATCCAATTCCAATAATGTGGTGCTTCTTGCCGTATTTCACTTCTCAAAGTTTTGATCTCATTGTCAAGATTATTCAAATGTTGATAATTTATCCTGAGTGTTGTTTTCATAAGTTTCCTTTCCGTTTCTTCTTGGAGTCGTTGAAGCATCTTGTTTTTTCCATATTGTTGTTGTATGCAGTTAAGTTGTAATCCTTTTGGTATTACATCGAATTTCCTGCATTTATGTAGAAACACCGTATTATTTTGTGTTTGAGCTTGTTGTTTGTACATCCTTTCCAGTTTTCTAACTTTCTTTATTATAGCCCCACCGTTGAGCTTTTGTAGTTTGTTGTTTAATAACTTCCATCCTCGAGTATTATTTAAATTGGTTTGGACGGTACTATTTGAGGACATTTTGACTTGATTTTATTGATTATTGCGAGCTTTCGATCGCTTACAGCGGATCATCATCAGGCATAAATTAGTTTGAAAAAAGAAAACAGAGATACTACAACGTTGTTTGAATTTTTGGAAATTTCAATGACATAATATTCATGGATACATTAAAAAAAATATAATTTATATTTTAACCCACTGCAGTTTTTGTGACATCGCCAATCCTGTAAAACTTGTTTAACACGGATTTGTAGTTTGCCATAAATATTTTGTAAACTCTGTAAATTTTTTGCTTAAAATTAATTTACAGTTTTTTTTAAATTTTAAATATCGTAAACTGTGTTAATTGTTTTCTTAACACTACTTTGTATTTTTTGTAAATATCCTAAATTCGGTAAAATTTATGCTCCAAACCAATTTACAAAAATGTTCCGGAAAAGAATCAGTTAAAGTTGACAAAGGCCTTTTTACATACATTTTAGAAACTTAAATCATGCTACAAAACACCGTGTGAATGTGTGAATCATTATTTTTTTATTAATTTTAGGTCTTGATGTGGCACATCGAGTCAAGTCAGCAACTCAGCGATCTCGTGTGCGACGTAAATGCCAAGAATTACGTCGAGGCGGCCACCGCATCCACACTCATTAAAGAGTTTGTCGGTAAATTGGTCCAAATTAAGGGGTATTTAATTAATAATTACTATAATTGAGATACTGTTTATCAAGTTTTTTTCAGTAATTAAACTAATAATTAAATATGTTTAGGGATTCTCCTTCCTCCCGAGAACAAAAGTTATTTGCCATGGCGATCGTAGAAATCATTCCGGCATGGCGTTATCCTGGAACACCGGATGGAATTGTGAGATATTGAATTTTTAGGGATTGGACGTTCGAAAATCGTGTCTCGTACTTGGGGAGAATTTGTTGAAAAAATTACGGAATTTGCATGACGAAAATGTTTTCTTTTTTTGTTTTCATAAAAATGCGAGAAATTCAGTACGTACAACAATTGTTTTTCTCGCTTCATTCCTTTATTGATTACCTGATTAGGAATTTTAAGAAAATTAAGATTTTAAAACTAAAATGCAGAATTTTTAGGAAATCTATCTATAAGGCAATTCATGTATTGCTTGGTAACATTGTAAAATCCGTAAGTTGTATAAACTTACAATTTAAAAATTTTTGTAAACCTGCTCACGTCAGGAACTTATAATAATAACCAAAGATTTCCGGAATCTCCTGTCTCTAAAAGCTGAACCTTGTTTTTTATACATTTCTTATAATTGATACCCTTTAATAAATTTGTTTTTCTCCTTTTTCAGGATATTTTATACGACGAGGTCAACCGATCCGGCCTGATTCAAGCCAAACTTCGGAATATTCATAAAAGTATGAAATCTAACAATAGAACTGCGGAACCCCCGAGAAAAAGGTCCATCGTGGATTCTGGGGGCCCAAAAGCTAAAAAACCAGCCAAAGTAGTCGAAGAGCTGCCACCCATGCCCACCACGGATTTTCAACCCCTTATTCAACAATTAAATGCGGCCTGTCCTCAGACAGGATTTTTAGAAATCAAGAAACTCATGTCGGAAACTTTGGCGCATAGAAACCATCTGCGACGCACGAATAATGACGCCATTCTCAAATTATATCCTAAATTTAAACACTGCAATTTTCTGGTGAGGGATAACATTTCTGAAGACATGTTTGGTTCGATTTCAAAAAAATTAAAGTAAAAAAGCAGACAATTTTATGAAATGCGAAGCTGCTTTTTACATCGTAATTTTTTTAAATTCAATTTTTTTAGTTTTCTTTGCTAGACAGTGAAAACCAGAAAATTTTAGGAAATTCGAAACTTTTTTTTACAAGAGGCACTTTTTAAATTCAATTTTTTAAAGAAAAACAGCAGATTTATTCAAAGCTTTTTTAGGAACTGGTAGTTCAAATGTTTTTAGGAAACTACACGATTAAAAATTGGAAATTTACATTGCAAAAAAAAACAGTTCTACATTTTTCTTTAATCGAGCCAAACCTTAATTAATTAAAAAATATACATGTTAAACATTTCTGAACCCTTTTTCTAGGTCAATTTCGAATTTTCCCTACTGTTTCAAGACGCATCGCACAAATTCCTTCAAATTTGGCCAAAGTTCGCTAAGCGATTACTCGATCATGTCAAGCAAATAAAACAGACGCCCGCAATGGCCAAATTTTTTGCGACAGAAGCTGGTTCGTATTTCTTGATGGGGGTATTCACGTCACTGCAAAATATCGCCTAATAATTTTGGCATCTTGAGAAATCCGTGTTGAGAACGGCTTATTTTACATGAAAATATTTACATCAACTGAAAATGCGAGGAAAAATGTAAATTTTCTTGAGTTTGCGAAAAATAGTTTACGTCGATAATGCTCTTGTGTCGCATATTTCGCAAAAAATATAGGATTCTGATTTGTTGTCTCTTCGAAACCATTGTAAGGTTCTGAAGCGACGTATATGTACCAATTTTACAAAGTTGACGTGAATACCCCCAATAATTAATCTAACAATGAACAATGTTTCAATCTTACCCTTTGTTTATCCAGATAAATGGGACGAGTCAATTCTTGCCTTGTTAACTTTGCTGCAATTCATTCCCCCCGCGGCGCAGGGGAAGGGGAAAGGTGGCCGCGCAAAAATTGAGGACGCGCGTGACCTCGTCGTCACATTTTATCCTGTAAGGAATAATTTTAATTACTATTTAACTGGACGATTTTTTAAAAAGATTACGTACCCAGCAGAACTTTCTGTCTGTCCGTCTACCACCAAACTGAAAATACGGGTTCAAATTATTGTTACAAGACTCAAATTGTCAAATTATATAACTGTGCATTTTGAAAATGGTCATACTCCTTAAAGCTAAAATTTGGCAAATATGTATTGCCTATAGTAAAATAAGTTTGTCAAAAAAGAAGCAAAATTTGATCTGGGTCACAAAATGCCGGGTTATAAATTTCTACATACAGAGTAAGACAATTAATTTAAACTAAAGTGATGAAACTTGACTAGGGCCATGCGAAGTTGTCCCGAATCTACATATATTTAATTACTTCGATTCTCAAATTGATTAATTAATTAAAATTATGTTGGAAATTTAAATTTGAGTCAATTTCCAACTTGACTCGGGCCACGCGAAGTCAATCAAACTAAAATTTCTCTCCCTTTTTCCAGACCGGAACGCCATATCATTCCATCCTGGACACGTGGAAGGCTGAAAAAACGCAGCCCAACCTGGTCTGCATGGGCACCTCGACGTCCACGATTTCCTCCTATTTCATCATCTCGGATCGCACCATGATTCCGATCGAGGCGACCACGTCCACCGAAGCGATCGACACCCTGTTCAAGACGCACTACGTTTTCGCGGCCGAGTACGACAAGAATCTAGTCGGACTTTGGAAGTTTATCCAAGTCTACATTTACCAGTTGGACGTTACCACGACCAATTTACCGAGAAAAGTTAAAGAAGTTTTCGCCCAGCTTTCCGGTTACATGGGGACAGAGTAGGAGTTAGGTAGTTATTGATTTACCGGTGTTACCGCTCGGTATTAAAATTATATTCCGAGGTAAAATTCCGGTAGAGGTATATACATACTTATAATTAATACTGGTATTGATTTGGTAGTAATTTCCCACCGGAATGGTAGAAATTTTTTTATGAGTGGTAAATTTTTAGATATTACCATGCCGGTAGAGGTAATGATCTAATATCAGTTTCCTAAGAGTGTAGAAATCTGGTATAGTCCGGCACGTATTAATTTGTCGGTACTAAATAAACTTGCTACCGCTTGGTATTAAAATTATACCGGTCGGTAAAAAAATTTCTACTGATATTTGGTGACATTTTGATACCAAGCTAACAAGTATTACTACACCATACTGATCAATACCGCTTTGTGGTATTCTAATACTGGATTTGTAAGAGTGTAGAAATTTCTGCCCAAAAATCTCACTGGGTTAGCTGTACAAAATTAGTTACAAAAAATAGTAACATTTTAAAAATTGTTTAAAATCAAAAACCAATTTATAATTTCAGAAATTTTATATTTACTAAAATATACTTTTATGCAGTTGTATTTACGTAGTTCATATGTATTTTAATCTTTTGTACGTAATGTTTTTTTAGCATGTAGAAATTTTACAAAATCAGAGCAAAAAATGAATTTGCATAAAGAGTGGAAATGTATTTAGGTAACAACGTTTTTAATTACCAAGTAAAGTAATGTCTCGTCTGCAACAATGTAGTTTTGTAAGCTTCCTAAATGAAAACTATGTAGTTTTATCAATGTTTTAAATAACTTGCATAAAAAATCTTGTTCAAAACATTACAAAGTATTGTTTAAATCGTTATGACTTTGCAACTGCATTTATGTTAGTGAGACTCGACATGAATAAGGGGACGATATTAAATTATGTAAGGCTAAAATGCGATTTTTTAAACCCCCACCCCCCTGTAAACTATGTTTCACAATTGGTCATGTGAGATTACCGTGCTCTTAGATGTGGCCGTGAAATCACCAGTTGTGAAACATAATTTAGGAACGTTTCACAAACGTTTCAATCGCACACATATTTTCTGTTGCTAGAAAACTCCATTTATTCATACATATTTGTACGAGCTTACTACTTACTAAAATAATCTATTAATATCAATATTGGGAGAGATGTTAGATTCGATGTCCTTGAGCCCGATTCGAGATTCCCAAATTCTGTTTAGGTGTGGTGCGTAGTAGAGTTTGGCTTCCTGCCAAAATCTATTTTTAGATTGGGTGTTGTTCAAGCGGGGAGACGCTACTGCTATGCTGGTGGCGTGGCCTTCTCTTTCTACTCGTCTGCCGGCTTGAAAGTTCGTCACTCAAGAAAACGTTCTGCTTCCTTTCGGATCATACTTTTCTTGTCCTCCGTTAAAATTTAAAGTTAATTTTTCTCTTTGGAAATTGCTGTTATTTTTCCAATCACCAATTAAGGACGCAAGTAAATTCATTGCTACAAGTCAGAGACGAATTTTAAGCAGTTTTCTCCCTGTTATTCGGTAAGTTCAAGGTATGATTGAAATTTTAAATTTGAAGGAATAGATATTTAGTTTCTGGAGTAATACAATTCATCAATTTCAAATAATTTTGGTTCTTGAGTTCAAGCCAAAAGTTTAATTTTACTATAATGCTTGGGAGGATTTGACTAATTATAAAACTGAGATTTAAGGATTTCTTGGAGGACTGATTTTTTAATTGAATCATATTCTGATTTAATTATTGGTTTTATTGTTAAACAGGTAATTCAAGAGTTGAAAATGGCTCGTATCCCATATGACGCCGAGGAGGTGGACGTTTTCATTGTGGAGAAGATTCTCGACAAGCGAATTGTCCACGGCAAGCCGGAATATCTTTTGAAGTGGTTCGGCTATACAGAGTGAGTACTTTACAGCTATTATTTCGGGGTATTCAGTATTTCTTGGTTTCATGAGGGGCCGTCCAAGAATTACGTAACGCAACAGGAGAAGTGGGGTCTAAGGCTCCAAAGATATCGTCCCTATGTTACGCCTTTTAAAGGGGGGGGAGGGGTTCTAGAAAATTGTGATTTTTGGTTACGTAATTTATGGACGGCCCCTTTAGAAAGAAATTATGCAGAACCTTCGTAAAAATCAACTTTTATACTACAAAATTTGACAAAATCTCGTAACCTTCGTAACTTATTTCACGATACGAAAGAATAATGAATACCCTTGTTACTAATTTTATATCAAACTCGATGGATGATATGAATTAATTAAGTTACTATCCTAAATAATAAATGTGCTATTTATTTAATGTCGCAGTGAGGATAACACTTGGGAACCGATGGAGAATCTGGACTGCTACGAACTGATTGAAGCATTCGAGGCTGCAGGAAATCCGAGGCTGAATGGTCCGCGGCCGCGGCGTAAATGAACGGAGGACCTCAGTAGATTTTGTGACCGACCCAAAATTACTATTATTTTTTGTATCAACTAAAACAACCTTTGATGCTGATTGGATTCACATTTTCGATTATAATATTGCATATAATGTCATTAAAATAAATTTCTTCGTCTAACGCGTGATCGATGCTTTTAATTTTTGGTTTCTTTCATTTGCTACAAATTAAGGATCGTCCATAAATCATGTCACGGTAGAGGGGGGGAAGGGTCCAAGATTCCAATGATATCGTGCCCATGTTACACATGTTAAAAGGGGGTCTAGAAAATCGCGATTTTTGCGTTACGTAATTTATGGACGGCCCTTACAAAATTATGCATGAACGGCTCCCAACGAAAATCCATTTTCCCGAAATAAAAATAAAAATACGGCATTTGTCTAATTATAAATGGTTGAATAAAGTAAAGCTCGAGCAGAATAAATAAGGTACGCTACAAAAAATCACCAACTGATCTCAAGAAATTTATTTCAACATTGTAACCGAAATTAAGTTTTTCCTGCAAAATCCTCTGAAAAATTACCTTAGCCATAATTAATATTGATGATAACGAGGGTAAATTTTGTTTAAAATTTAGTTCGTCTCCCAATTAGTTGATTAACAATCAGGATTCAATTCAAAAATCAATCCAGCCAAGAAAATTTCTTGAAGAAATCGTTAATTTGTAATTAAATAATTAGTCAAATCCCCAATTCTCTCAAGTATTAGAGCAAAAGTATCTTCCAATTATACTTTTGACTTGAATTCAACAATCAAAATCAATATGTATTCATTACTCTAGCAATTAAATTAAATTTATTATTTCCACCAAACTTTTAACTTACCGAGGAATGAAAATGATTAAAAAAATGGAAACCTGCTTAAAATTCGATTATAACTTGCAATTACTTACGTTCTTAATTGATGACTGGAACAATTTAATAGGACTATTAAATTTACTTTTTTGCTTAAAAATCTAATGAAAAAGCCATTTTCATGAGATAAAAATGAGACGATGATTTGAATTCCCGGTGTGTTTTTTGGGGCGGAGAGATACCCACTGTTGACACGGAGGCATGTTTGGAGGGGTAGCGAAAGACGGGGGTTAAGCGGGAGCGTGGTGGCGTGTTCATTGTTCGTCTAAAATCTGCACCGTCATCGTGGCGTTCTTCTTTCTTCTCGTCTGCCCGCTCGAATGAAAGTTCGTCACTCAAGAAAAGGCATTCTTCGCACTTGGTCAGACTTTTTTTGTTTGTGAAAAAATTTAAAGTTAATTGTTCCCGTGGCAAATTGCTAAGCATTAATTTGTCTTCTTCTTCTTCCACTCATCAATTAAGAACGTAAGTAATTGCAAGTTAAAGTCGAATTTTAAGCAGTTTTCCGTTTTTTAATCATTTTCATTCCTCGGTAAGTTAAAAGTTTGATGGAAATAATAGAAGATACATTTAATTGCTGTAGTAATTACTAATACAATTGATTTTAATCGTTGAATTGAAGTCAAAAGTATAATTAAGAGATAATTTTGCTCTAATAGTGGGGGGACGGGATTGAGGATTTGACCAATTACAAACTTAAAAATAATGATTTCTTGGGAGATTGATTTTTGAATTGAATAGTATTTGTATTTAATTATTGGTTTTGCTTATTATTAATTAAATAGACAATAAGAATTGAAAATGGCTCGTGACCCGTCTGACGTGAAAGGTGACCTGGCGGAGGTCAAGGGAAGTGGGGATGAGATCTCCGAAGAACGGGAGGAATTGATTGCCGAGGCTTCCCAAGGGGGCGTGGGAGACGGGACTTCCGAACCGAAGGGCAACGAGGAGTCGACTTCTGCACAATCGGAGGCGACGGGTTCTGGAGACGGGACTTCGGAACATTACGTCGTGGAGAAGATTCTCGACTCACGAATTGTCGCCGGCCGGACGGAATTTCTCGTCACGTGGAAAACCCGAGGCCAGTGAGTAACCTTATTTTTCTTTTATTTTGTACGAAATTTGGGTAAGCCAATGGTCAGAATAAGTACATTTTTAATCATTTCTGTTTAGCTCTGGGAATGTATTTTAAAATTCTGGACCACAAATTTGTGGTCAGTAAATTGATTAGTAGTATTTCGTGTTTTTTTAAAGCTAGTTTCAACAAGTTCCAATTTTTCTGAAAATGTCTTAAACTTTAGACCTCTTTAAAAATTTGTGAAATTCTTGAATGTATACTTTTTAATTGGCTCTACAAATTTGTCGTCCAGAATTTGTAAATAAATTCCCCAAGTTAAAGAGAAATGATTACAAATGAATCAATTTTTACGAATTTTGATAAGTCAATCGAGTCCGACATAATTAAACTATATAAACAGTTAACTAATTGTGCTATTTAATGTCGTAGTGAGCATGACAGTTGGGTGCCATTGGAGAATTTAAACGTCGATCGCCCTGAGCTGATTGAAGCATTCGAGGCGGACCGGAATGCGAAGAAGGCCGCGGAGAAGAAGAACGCATCTAACGCGGACGAAGGGGAGAAATTCGTCGTAGAGAAAATTCTCGACAAGCGAATTGTCCACGGCAAAATTCAATATCTTTGCAAGTGGAAGGACTACGAAGAGTGAGTTCTGTTCAGTTATTTATTTATTATTGAGGGTATTCACTGAGGGATTTCACATCAAAGTTTGTAACCACGTTGTGGCAGATTTGTCAGTAAGTTTACACACTTTTGACGTGAGTCGACTTTTTAAATATTTTTGCAAGCAATTTTTTGTTAAAAAATCAGCACAACCTATTTATTTCAACTCAAACTTCAAATATCAAACATTCGAATTATTAACAAAGTTTTATTTCGAAAATAAAAATTTATTTATTTTACGACACGAAAGATACCACGGAATCGTGAATACCCTTAATATTTAATTCGTATTAAATTCCGACAATAAGAATTATGTAAATCAGTTAATTAAATTAATTAATTAACGTGCTACTATTTAATCTCGCAGGGACGACAACACTTGGGAGCCAGCGGCGAATTTGGGCTGTTCCGAACTGATGGAAGCGTTCGAGGCCGAATGGAAGGAAAAGGAGGCGGCCAAGAAGAAGAAGAAGCCGTCCGACAATGGAGCAGAATAGAATTCGTTTCCTTTCTGAAAAATTATTAATTTCTTTTTTGTGTTGATTTATTCCACTTTTCGATTGTTTCAAATAAATTTCTTGAAATAACTTTATGATTTTGGTATGCTTTAGTTATTTACAAATATTTTGCTAATAGTTATCTTTACACGTTTACTAATTTAAAATTTATTCCGGAGTTTAAACTGCGAATGCCTGATTTTTTTTATTTTTTAAGATAAATTAGCGGTCATTTTTGAGGAAATTTATTGTGAAAAAATAGCAAACCAATTGGTTAATTTTTTTCCAAATCGACTTGTTTATAGTACCAAAAATTAGATTAAATTACAATTAAAAGTAGCATTTATCTCAAAACTCATGGAATCGACAATTTTAGAAATTACATTTAAAGATATTGCATAAGGGCAGAGTGAGATTAAAGCGGCAACGAGTCATCTAGGCGTAGGCTTAACCTGGCATTGTATCACGTGTTTTTTGTTTGAATTGTTGTGTCTCAGCTTTCCCTTCCTCCATGTATTCAAATGGCGATTTTGAAAAATGTTCACCGCCTTTCGTTTTTAACAATATGAAGATATTAATGCACCTAAAAATCGGTAATTTTTAGGCTTACATAGTTAGGAGATAAAAATTTTGATTTTTTTCTTCAATGAGGAAATATTTAAATTTTATTGATTATTTTTCATCTATTTTATATTTATCTTCTTGTTGAAGGAAAAAATCAAAATTTTTATCTCCTAACTATGTAAGCCTAAAAATTACCGATTTTTAGGTGCATTAATATCTTCATATTGTTAAAAACGAAAGGCGGTGAACATTTTTCAAAATCGCCATTTGAATACATGGAGGAAGGGAAAGTTGAGACAACAATTCAAACAAAAAACCCCGCATCAGCCAGCATGCTATTCCGCCTTAATAAAATTACAAAAACACTGAAAAAAAGCCGTAGTGCTTGGAGGGGTAACGCGAGACATGGGTTGAGCGGGAACCTGACGGCGTGTCAAGTATTCGTCCATTCTTCTCCTCAGAGTGGAAAACGTTCTTCTTCCTTCACAATTTTCTTGTAGGTTCAATTAAATTTAAACTTAATTGTTCTTGCCGGAAATTGCTGCCAGTTTGTCACCAAGTCTTCTTCCAATCACCAATTAAGGACGTAACCAGGTGTAAGCAGCTTTTTTACTATTTGTTATTCCTTATTTAATAAGTTAAAAGCAAAGCTTGATTTAGATTTGTAGATAGTTATTAATTGCTGCAGTGGTAAACCAATTAATTAATCCCATTTGATTTTGATGGTCGGATTCAACTCAAAAATATAATTTAGTGGAGATTTGTGGATAAATATGACTTAATTAATTGTGAACTAATGAGGGAACTCATTATTCCTTAGTAATTACAACGTTTAAGAGATTTTGAATTTCAAAATTTGAAAGTGGGTAAGATTTTGTCAGAAAAAAGCCATGTTACTAAGGTTACACTTTTTACGATACGAAGAAGCAATGAAAATGAATACCCTGAATAATTTGTGAGAAGATGATTATGAGTTTTAATTGTATTTTCTACTTTATTAAATTACTTATTGTTTTTTTAAATCAGTTTTAGGTGAGTGAAAAGAGTTGAAAAATGCCTCGTGAAGAATTTGTTGAGGTTGAGCCGATTGAGGTGGACTCATCGTCAGACTCGTCGTCACCGTCATCGTCATCGTCAGACTCTGACATGGACTCATCCCCAGTGACGGACTCTGACTCGGAGACGAGCAGCAGCAGCAGCGGGGATGAGATTGCTGACCCCGAGGGGGAGGAATACGTTATCGAGGCGGAGGAATACGTTATCGAGGCGATTCTCGATAAGCGAATTAACAGCCACGGCAAGCCGAGCCAAGCTGTAACATATCTTTGCAAGTGGAAGGATTACGGAGTGTGAGTATTTACTGTTATTCAAGGTGTTCATTGCAGTGATGGGATTTTTGCCCCTCGTCCTCATTTTTGAGTGAGGGGGAGGAGTAAAGAGGGGGAGTAGCTAGTGTTTTTGCTCCAAAATGAGGGGAGAGGAGGGGAGGACTAAAAATTTGAGGAATTAGTGAGGAGAGGGGAGGATGAGGACTTAAAATTTGAGGAATTGGTGAGGGGAGGGGAGTAGGAGGACTAAAAATTTGAGGAATTAGTGAGGGGAGGGGAGGACGAGGAGTAGAAATTTGAGGAGTCGATGAGGGGATAAGAGGACGAGGAGTAATTTACTCCTCGTCCTCTTTACTCCTCTTACTACTCCGAGTAAAAGGAGGGAGTAAGACACAGATAGATATATACTACTGTCCGCTCTGTGAGTGTCCGTCTATCTGTCTGTCTTTATCCACGATAATTTTAGAACGGATTCAAATTTCGCTATGCGGTTTTCGCGACGTGTTTCTAATTTTGAAGTACGGATGAGTTCGAAGATGGGCGTCGTAGGTCATAAAGTCACGGCGCTACGGTGATGACATATACGGTCTAAGATGTCGAATTTTTTATTTTGACCGTTTTAGACTTATTTTTAGAAGGGATTTCAAAAATCGCCATCATTTCGACGTGCGACGACACCATGACCGTGTAGATGTCGCCAAAGTCGAAAATTGTTGAATTTTTCGTCTGGACCGTTTTAGACGTAGATTTGAGCGGGGATTTCAAAAATCGACGGTTTTGTCATCTCACGACCCTGTGAGGAGTAGAAATTTGAGGAACTGGTAAAGGGAGGGGAGGGTGAGGACTAAAAATTTGAGGAGTTAGTGAGGGGAGGAGAGGAGGAGGACTTAAAATTTGAGTAATGGGTGAGGGGAGGGGAGGATGAGGACTAAAAATTTGAGGAATGGGTGAGGGGAGGGGAGGATGAGGACTTAAAATTTGAGGAATTGGTGAGGGGAGGGGAGGATGAGGACTTAAAATTTGAGGAATTGGTGAGGGGAGGAGAGGAGGAGGACTTAAAATTTGAGTAATGGGTGAGGGGAGGGGAGGATGAGGACTAAAAATTTGAGGAATGGGTGAGGGGAGGGGAGGATGAGGACTTAAAATTTGAGGAATTGGTGAGGGGAGGGGAGGGTGAGGAGCTGATCAAAAGTCCCAACTCTGGTTCATTGTAGCTATAACAATGCGATGGTGTCATGTGTCATCCTTCGATTTGGCTGAAATTTTAAAATTATGTGGTCCAAGTTAATACAACCAAGGTTTCTTGAGGCAGTTTGTGCGATGGTGGGAACTTGGGGAAATATTTGAGGTCAAAGTTCAAAAATGTGCCATTTTTAGCACGGGAAGGGAATGGAAGTTGAGTTTGCTTCCTCCGTCTGGTAAAAATCGCATATTTTTCAGCTTTGCCCTCAAATATTTTGGAAAATTTTGACCATCGCACAAACTGCTTGAAGAAACGTTGGTTGTATTGATATGGACCACATAATTTTAAAATTTCAGCCAATTTGGAGGCTTACACTTCACACCATCACATTGTTAGAAAAAATAGTTTGCGAAGAAGAAAACAATTCGTAACTGTGGTAACTTATTTTTTCGATGCAAACAAGTCTAACAACGGCCTGGTTCCAATTTTGATTAAACTATGATAATTATAATTATAGATAAAGAATTAAAAACATGCTTCAGAATTTTTAATAATGCAATTCAATGCTGAACGAAATTATGACGGAATCCGTAAGCGAGAATCTTCCCTGAGAGAAATGTAATGTAACGGTAAAAAATACAAATTCTCGTACACGGATCCTATTTTAACTTAATTAATAAAGGTCTCATTTAATGGACCAGACTTTTAATTTTACTTTTAATAATAAATTATAATAATTTATCTTCACTACATAGTTATCGTAATTACAACGGTTTTGTTACCGGAGTAACATGTCAAAAAATCCCCAGATTACGAAGCTGGATGCCGTTTTTTTAAATTTGTAAACTATTTTACGATACAAAAAAGAAAGAAATATGTAATGAATACCGTCATTATTTATTTTGCATTAAATTCGGAAATTAGGAATTAAATTTTTTAATTGATTAATTAATTTGCTATTTAATATCGTAGGGAGGAGAGCACTTGGGTGGCGGGGAAGTATTTGATGTGTCCTGAACTGATTGAAGCATTCGAGGCTCAAGGAAACCCAGCCATCGGACCGGAGTAGAAATTTTGTTCCTGTTCAAAAATTATTCTTTTTTGATCAACTGAAATCTTTGCCTTGTTGATTTATTCCATATTTTTGATTGTTCAATAAATAAATTTCCGATACGGATTTAAATACTTTTGTGAGTTTATGCGTGACATACTTTTTATTTATTCTGTTTCAGCGTTTAAAATAAACATGCCGGATACAAATTACGAAAAACTGAAAACATAAATAGGGCTTGTAGGGGTGACATGAGACATGGGTTGAGCGGGAACGTGTCAAGTATTCATCCACTCGACTCTTCTCCTCAGAGCAGAAAACGTACTTCTTCATTCACAATTTTCTTTCGGTTAAATTAAATTTAAAGTTAATTGTTCTTGCCGGAAATTGCTGCCAATTTGTCACCAAGTCTTCTTCCAATCACCAATTAAGGACGTAACCAGGTGTAAGAAGTTTTTTTTTACTATTTGTTATTCATTTTTTAATAAGTTATAAGCTTGATTTAGAATCTAAATTTTAGATATTTATTAATTGCTGGATTATTAAAGTAATTAAAATTAATCATGGTTGAGTTTGATAATTGAATTCAACTCAAAAGTTAATTGTAGATTTTGGGATAAATATGACTTAATTAATTGTGAATTAATCAGGATATTCACTATCCCTTAGTAATTTTCGCATCGTATCGTAAAGTAGGTTACAACTTTTACCCAATTTTGAAAACTGGGTAATATTTTGTCAGAAAAAAATCACGTTATTAAGATTTCCGAAAATTGACTCCGTGTTTTTTCTTCGTGAACTATTTTACGAAACAATGAAAATGAATACCCTCAAGAATTATTTGTTGAGAAGATGATTACGAGTTTTAATTGTATTTTCTACTTTACTTTATTAAATTACTTACTGTTTTCTTTTAATTATTACAAATAGGTGCGTGAAAAGAGTTGAAAAATGGCTCGTGAAGAACTTGTCCAGGTTGAGCCGGTTGATGTGGTCGTCAGACTCAGGAGTAGAAGGTCACTACTTGTCGGGCCCCGATTTCGATCTCCTTTAGATATGTTGTAGCACTACATGTGTGTAGAAAAAGTGAAGGAGGGTTAGACTCCATGAGCCCATTTACGCCCGCCACACCCCCTCAAAGGCGCCCAAACCCCCAGAGTTGCCGCACTAAAATCATCCCCAAAAATCGAGTTTTGGTCAGATTTTCAAAAAATTTACATTTTTGTGATCCCAGATAGTTGCTCTATCATATCCAATAGCAAACTCAACTTTTTTGAAATTTTCAATACTTTCGAAGATTTTCTGACCAAGGGTATGTATTGAAAAAATTCGAAATTTCAAAAAAGTTGAGTTTGCTATTGGGTATGATAGAGCAACTATCTGGGATCACAAAAATGTAAATTTTTTGAAAATCTGACCAAAACTCGATTTTTGGCGATGAATTTAGTGCGGCAACTCTGGGGGTTTGGGCGCCTTTGAGGGGGTGTGGCGGGCGTAAATGGGCTCATGGAGTCTAACCCTCCTTCACTTTTTCTACACTCATGTAGTGCTACAACATATCCAAAGGAGATCGAAATCGGGGCCCGACAAGTAGTGAACTTCTACTCTTCAGACGAGGACCCTGTGATGGACTCCGACTCGGAGACGAGCAGCGGGGACGAGATTTCTGACGAGGGGGAGGAATACGTTATCGAGGCGATTCTCGACAAGCGAATTGTCCACGGCAAGCCGGAATATCTTTGCAAGTGGAAGGACTATGGGGAGTGAGTATTACTTTTACTGTTCAGTTATTTATTATTCAGCATGTTCATTAAATATCTCTTTGTATCTTACAATGCGATGGTGTCAAGTGTAACCCTGCGAATTGGCTGAAATTTTAAAATTGTTTGGTCCAAGTAAATACAACCAACGTTTCTTGAGGCATTTCGTACGATGGTGGGAATTTGTCAAAATAATTAGGTCAATGTTGAAAAATAAGTGATTCTTACCAAGCAGAGGATTCTATTCCCTTGGAAAATCGCACATTTTTCAACTTTGACCTCAATTATTTTGACAAATTCCCACCATCGTACTAAATGCCTCAAGAAACGTTGGTTGTATTTACTTGGACCACACAATTTTAAAATTTCAGCCAAATCGGATGGTTACACTTGACACTATCGCATTGTTTGTTAGAATAAATAGTTTACGAAGAAAACAAAGCTTCGGAATCGTCGTAACTTATTTTTTTCGATGCGAAGAAATCGAACAGCGATCAGAGCGGTCTGGTTCCCATTTTGATTAAAGTATGATACAGAGCGTGAATCAAGATACAAAACTCACTTTTATTTTTGATATAACATTTGTTAGAGAGACCTGGGATTATTGGAATTTGCATGTGTTGTACCCAGATAGTCAAGGAACAGTTCGCAAAACAACTTTTAGTTCTGTGCATCAACATGCCCCCACTCCCCCCCACGGAGTGCGAGGTAGCCGTATTAGAGTTTTCCAAAGATAAATTGTACCATAAAAAATTGTTAAGAAACTGGCGACAACTGAATTCAAGTGCCAGTCAAAGCCATGTTTCCAGTGTATTAAATGGCACTGCCATGAAGAGACAGGGATCATTGGCTAGGGTTCCACCTCCACCAAAGTGGCGTCCAAGATCAGCCAGAATCGAGGATGAGTTGTACTATATTGCAAATTCTAGCAATAAGGAAAATCCGTGAGCCCAGGAAAGTACGCAAAATGTTGGGGCTGAGTCAGGCAATAGTTTTTAGGATCATTCAATTTGACCTAAATAGATTAGCGCGGAGGAGGACCTTGTGTACGCCCCCAAGCCGTCTTACATCAAGTTTTTCGAAGCAACTTCGCGATAACTGTTTGAAAACTTATTTTCCCGAAATAAATTTTTAACTGCAATTACTCTTGACGAGTCGAATGACATTATTCAGATAGATTATTTTGGTTTTTATTACTTGAAGCAGAGATTTTAAAGCGGACGGCTTGGGCGCTAAGTGGGTTTTGGAAAACTTTTCAAAACGAGTGGAACAAAATCACTCCAAAAAAGTGTTAAACGTGATACTAGCGTACAAAAAGCGATTGCACCTCGTTAGACAAACTAATGGGCTACACATTGAAGCAATTTACAAAATTCACAAACGAGGAATAAAGCTGTAGAAAAATAAATAAAAGTGAGTTTTGTATCTTGATTCACTCTCTGTAATTATAGTTATGGAATTATTTATCTATAAATAATTAAACAAATGCTTCAGGATTTGTCGTAATGCTCAGTTTAAACGAAATTATGTTATTACGGAATCTGTAGAATGTCACGATAAAAAATGCAAATTCTCAGTTATGGATCTTATTTTAACTTCGTTGAAAATGAGCATTGTTAAAAATCCTGAAAAATGTGTGTAGTTATTTATCTAGACTACAGAATTATCAATTATCGTAGTTACGACGGTTTTGTAAGCGGAGTAAGATTTTGTCATAAAAAAATCGCCCTACTAAGGTTACACCGTTTTTTAAATTTGTAAACTATTTTACGATACGAAGAAGGAAATAGATACCCTCATTAATTATAAATAATTAATGAGGGTATCTATTTCCTTCTAAATACAAAATTTTGTATTTAATTACGGCAATACGAATTTAATTAAATTTAATTAATTAATTAATGTGCTGATTAATATCGCAGGGAGGATAACACTTGGGAGCCGGGGGAGAATTTAGACTGCCCTGAACAGATTGAAGCATTCGAGGCTGCAGGAAATCCAGCCGCGCCCAACGCCGGACCAGAGTAGAATTTTGTTCCTTTTCCAAAATTATTTATTTGAAATTGACCAACTGAAATCTTTGACTTGTTGATTTCTTCCATTTTGGGTTTTTGATTGTTGCAATGTTTAAATAAATTTTTGATACGCGTTTAATTAATTTTGCGAGTTTATGTAACATACTTTTTATTTATTCTGCTCCAGCTTTATCTTTTATACTCTAGCGTTTAAAATAAAAATGCCGAATTTTCAACTTTTTTTCTGGAAATTTACATCAATTTTCTTTACGTTACGAGGCGGAGTTTGCGAAAGCGTTATGCCACAACGGGAAAGAATTATAAATTTTATCGGCTTTCAGTTAACTTTATCTTCATCCTTTGTTCGTATTTCCCAGATGTCAAGATACATGCATTGTACATACAGGGTGGCCAGGTTAAAATGGGAAAAATTCGCAAATCTCCATTAGTTATCGAAATTTTGCCCTGAAATTCAATATTTTGAGAATTTTGTCATTCATCAGTGTTCGATAAGTTTTGATAAAAATTAATAAAAATCTCAATCCCAAATCCGTAACTAATGGAAATTACTAATTTTTCCCATTGAAAAATTTTCCATTCTAACCTGACGTTTAAACCAGAGCTCCACGCCGTTGCAAAATCGGCGGCGGCGGCGTGAGTAGTGAAAACCGTCGGCGGCACTGGCGTCAATAGGGGTAGGTGGGGGAGGTCCCACATATCGGCCCCCAAGATGAGACGGCCCCCGGCCGTCGGACGCTTGTGTGTATATATTATTGGATTTTTTCATTGACGGATAAAATATTTTAAAAATAGGAATAATTAGTTGGACTAATTTATCTACTGGCAAATCTAAATCTGTTACCATTTCTTTGCACTTGTACAAGTTGTTTTTAGTTTACACAAGAAACATTTATATAAGGCTGTATCACACATGCTCGGATTATAAGGTCCCTCAAATGCATTTCTGCTGATAATTAACAAAGCATTATATCTGTTTGTTAGAAATTTTTATGGAAGAATGAGGCACTAATAATTTTTAGAAATCATAACTTCTTTTTCAAGATTTCGTGCACAGGCTTGAACGCAAGACTTACGTCTTGACAGAGACTGCTCGATCGTGGCACGCGCGTTTTTCTATGAGAAAAGTGTTTCAGACTTTTCACCGTTGGAGAGAAATTAAATAGAAAAAATTGACAGATTTTTGTTCTGCAGATGTCTGATATCCACTTAAGTATGTGCAAGTTAATGTAAAGTCACCACCATAATGTGAATTTAATCGAGTTGGCTGGAGAAAGCAAATCTCTGGTTTTTGCCATAAAGGGTAACATTTTGGGCCAAAAATTATTTCCACAAAGTCAAAGGACCAATCGTTAAACCCATGAACTCTCCGATAACCCACATAGGTCCTTTGGACTAAATTCTACTCTTACAAATAGCAGCAAATTGCAGAGCCGTACCGTGAAATCTTCAGGCCTGGTATGAGCTTTAGTGCCGGGCCCTTTCATAAGTTCAATATATCCAATACTACGTAATAGTTCTCGCTCAAGAATACTAATAGTATTTTAAAACGAAATAATATTCTACGCATTAAGAGCATATTTACGATTTCCCCAGTTCCACCTTAAAATAGTGACAATTTACTAGCACTTTTAACTCAGAAATATTTTGACGACATCGGCGGGACGGAGAAAATTCAATTACCTATAAACACCTAAGTCAAAGTTTACATAAATATTCGAATACGGCGAACTTTTCGCTTACTTCCCAAAGCCTCCCAAAACCTTTTCGATTAATTATTTTTCTGTCCGTCTTAAAAGCTTGAAAAATTGACAGAAAAATTTGGAATTTGTGAAAATGCAGGTCCGAAAATTCAATTCCATTTAAATCTTAAAACACGCATTTTATATTGAATTTTGGTACAAATTCAAAAACATACAATATTTTGAAAACCCAATGCCGTGGCTGAAAACCGCTTTTAAGATTGAACCAAGCGGTAAGAATAGAAATATACAATTATACACATTTGTGCCTGAAGCCGTCAAACTACAGTCTGACTAACAATCCCATGACACCAGCGGTTTCGCTCCGATTTTGACGAAATAACCATAATTATGCAACCGTAGACAAATAATTGAACACGTGTTTCAAGATTTTTCATAATGCATAGCTTAAATGAAATTATGACGGAATCCGTGAGCGCGAATTTCCACTCTTACCGTGAAATGTTTCTCGCGAGGGAGAAAAATACAGATTCTCGCCTACGAATTCCATCAGAATTTAGTTTAAAGTTAAAAGGCGTGGGCATGAATAGTTTTCCTCAAATTTTGACCGACAAATTTTAAATTGCTCACACCAGGAAATAAGCGGACTTTTATTTTTGCACATATTTTGCTGCATAGCCCGTTTCCGTCTGCGAGGAAATTTTAGAATACATTTTCAGCCAAATTTTGATTTTTCAAAGTGATAAATTTTAATCTTATTTAAAAAATGAAAGAACATTTTTGCACGGAATTACATTGAGTTTAAGAGACTTCCACATTTCAAAAACTTAATTTTTCGAATTTTCTGACCTGTACATTTTTTCAAAATTCTGAAATAGTATAAAATTTTGAACGTTAAAGTTTTTGGAAAACCAGTTTTTATAATTTATGGAAGTAATTTTTGTTCTTTCATTTTTGAAATAGCGTTAAAATTAGAAAATCAACAGCTTTTTGAAAAATCTTGATTTGGAAAGTTCAGGAAAACAAAAATTACGGGTCGGGTTATTTCGGTGTGTGAAAAATTGGTCGGGTCAAAATTTGAGGAAGCCACTTCATGCCCACGTATTTTAAGCTTAAAGGAAGTTATGATGGAATTCCTATGCGAGAATCTGCATTTTTCTACCTCGTTATAAAAACTTCACCGTAAAAATGGCAATTCTCGCTCACGGATTCTGTCATAATTTCATTTCAGCTGAGCATTATGAAAAATCCTGAAACACGTCCCGAATTATTTCTCTAAGGTCACATAATGATCGTGGTTTCGTTAAAATCCGAGCGGGACATTTGGCGTCAGTTAAGGGTCCTCAGTGTGTATCTAAATAAGTTTGTCCCTGGGTTAAGGTAAATTTGCCCCGTAGCAAGGCATATTTGAAGTTGTCAAAAAGCACCTTTGCTTCTTTCACGTTGAATTTTTGTATATTTTCGGTCCAAAGAAATTAAGAATGTACCAACTCTTTACATACACAAAGTTTCCCATAATCCCACAAAATAAGTATAATAGAAATATGCCAGCTGTTGAGAAACTTTGATGTCAGGCAGTGCCTAAACTGCCCATATCCAAGGGTGGGCAAACTTTCCAGGCGCCCCTAGCCGCTCGCGAATTTTCGTCCGTCCAAACTACAGTCACTTAATATTATAATAGAACATATATGTAGCTACATATATAATTGCCCATACATAGGTCGACGGCTATGTAACTATCGGCGGTGGCTTGAACCAACTTGTGTGCCTGTCCGTGTCTCTGACTAAAGACGTAGAATAGTAACAAGGGAACCGTAGGTACGTCAAACCTCGATTTTCTTCCGAACAGCCTTAATCGACAGATAATTTAGTGAAACTTAAACTTTGTTATAGAATACGAGGTGCAAAATCACGCTTCGCGAAATATTTGGCAAGAGCTAAACTAAAACGTGCATTTTCCAAATGATTTTAACTTAGCCAGCAGACTAAAAGTGGATGAGGAAATGAAGTTTATACGTTGTGTATATCTATAGTCTATAAACTTCATTTCATCATTCATTAGTCTGCTGGCTATGTTAAAAGAATTGGAAAAATGCCCGTTTTGGTTTTGCTATTGCCAAATATTTCGCGAAAACGTGATTCTGCACCGCATGTTCTCAGACGAAGTTTAAGTTTCACTAAATTACGTATCTTTCGATTAAGGCTATTTGGGAGGAAATCCAGGTGTTACAGTACTTAAGGTTCCCTTGTAAGCTCACGTAGATCAGCGACTAGGAAAAGCATCAAACATGGAAAGCCTTTTTGAAGTGAAAATTATAACATCTCCGATTTTGAGTGGTTTGCACTACTTTTAATATATTCTATTTTTTCTTGCATAAGTCCGTGACAAAACATTAGATAAAATTTCACTTTCATCCTTGTTGTAAAGCTGCAAAATTTTGTGGCACTAACTCTCTAATTAAAAAATACTTCAACCAGAAAGTTTTAAAGATTGAAAATAATTCCAAAGTTTCAAGTTTCGAGTATAATTATTTAGGCGAAAAGTCGTGATCAAAAAAGTATTTATCAATTTCTTCAAAGGCATAGGTGCAATTAAGGTAACACCAAAATTCTTCTTTTCAAAAATAAAAATGTAAAATCCATCCGGTCAAAATCGGAGAAACTTTATTCATGTCTACATATTTTGATCGTGTCATACATTACATACGTAAGTAAGAGATTGTCAAATACAAGGTCTATTCTGTACTTTTGTACTGAAAATATTTTTAAAGTTTGAATTTTATAATTTCAATTAGACCAAAATCAGCCCGACTTAAAATCAGCGCCAAATTTTACTCGGGGGCGACGTTACGAGAATTTTAAGCAGCAGGGTCGGCGCCTAAAATAGTACCGGTGGTGTGTATGTAGTCGACGGGGTCGACCTGCACAAGTTGGCAAACCAATTGCGCAATTTACACTCACAATATTTATATTTATTTAAGTTCGATTATAACTGCGACGTGGGTTCGCTTGCTAAATTTCGAAATTTTGAATAGGTCCTAGTCCTTAAATTGACCAAAAAAAATTCGGCACTCTGAAAGCTATTTGCAAGGCTTCAATTGCGTATAAAAAATATTATACCTGGTCTAAGACGCAACAATTACCAGTTCAAAGGCCACAGTGTATAAAATCTAGAATTAGATTGAAATGGCTATAGGGTTATTAGCGACCATATGGCACTCCTTGCATTGAACTTCTCAACAATGTAGATATAATACCTGGTAACTTCTAAGGAGCTTTTTCGTTCTGGACCGACTTGTAATTTAGAATTAATTTTAACAAATTCTGCGTGGATCCACTTACTTTCCTGTCAAAATTTGTGTTTGTATAATCTGAAATAACTCATTATATCCAGTGCCCTGACCACTTGGCGCCCAGGGCAA